CTTCAGGGAAAGAACTTCCTTCTGATAATAAATTGGGAAGCGCTAAGAGTCTAGGGGGTGAAGGGTTTGCCCTTGCCTGCTCCTCCCTTGCAAAGGCTTACTTTCAAGCCTGAGGTGCGAAGACTCTTCCAACAGAAAGCCCCGGCAGACAGAAAGCATAAATGCGAATGTTTGCACATGTACCTCTAAAAAGAAAAAGGTGCTGCGCCGCTAAACAAGGTAAAGACTGCCGTTGCGGCGTTCTGCCGTCTGTTAAGCGTCGACCAAGGGAAAATGCGACAATGTTCACAGACATTTCAAAATTCTGCACCCCTCACAGCGTTGCGTGGGTTTTGTCATGCGCAACACATACGCAACATGCACGCAACATGGCCTGTTGCGCAGCCACGCAACGCTGTAATTTACGATGTTTCGCGCTTTTTCCGCGCATTTTCGGGACAGCCAGTCTTTTAAATGGAGTTCTACCTTTTTTACGTCCCGTGAGCGGAAGAAGCGCGAAACATTGTAAATTACAGTGTTGCGTGGCCGCGCAACACGCCATGTTGCGTGCATGTTGCGTATGTGTTGCGTGTGACAAAACACACGCAAGCTGCAAATAGTGGACAAACTTCTACCTCATTCAAAATTACCGCAAAACCGCCACTGCATGTGGGTGTCACAGACAGCCAAAAAACCGTGCGAAGAAAAGCAAGCGAAACGTTGACGACGAGGAGTGCTGGTCGCGAAACATCAAAAGCTTCTCCAAGCACCCAGTGCCGCCCGACTCCCGACGGAGAAGCTTTCAATCACAAGACTTTGAGATTTCAGATCCAACCCGCAAGACACCCCCAAATGCGACCCCAACACCATGTCCAGCCACTAACTAACCCACCAGGACACGCCCAAGAGCCACATGAGCGATATCGCTGCAAGACAACAGACAACAACAAAACCTGCTGCAGCAACCCACCAACTGCTCGCAACCGAAACTACACTAGAAGGCGCACAGAAACCAAGTAAAACTGTTGGAGTAGCAAGAAGCGGCCGCAAGATTGAGCAAAATGAGGTTCCAAAACCAAGGCCTCAAAACAGGCAGTTTTGCGGTGACGCATGGGCGTACCCCATGGTAGCAAGCATGCTGTTGATTTCCCCATGCGTGAGACTTGACTGTGTATCTTCTGCAAGTAAACCATGTCTTGACTATGTTTGGTCTGCGAATGTATTCATGCTCTCTCTGTTTGAGCAATTTTGCCCGCCCAAGTTTCCCTTCCTTCTTTGGTTGAAGCTGTTGGTTTGTTGCACATTGAATCCGATCGCCCAGCAGACCGCTGAATGAAGATCATGCAGACCTTATTTTCATCTCCGTACAAATTTGAGGCCCCGGATTGCATTTTGGGGTCCTGATTTGGGTCATATTTTGGTCACCAAGTGAAACGAAGGTGGATGTCACCAAGTGCCACGCCTGCCACGCGAAGTGCCGCGGCGTCGACCAAGCGCGCTGCACAGTGCTTAAAGTGCCACGCCTGCCACGCAAAACGATGGATGTGTGTGTGTCAAAGGCTGGTATATGAAAGAAAGTGTGTGAAAGATGGTTCTGTGACCTCCGTAGTGTGTATTAGTCAGGTTGAACCCTTCGCTGTGTTTCATGGCACTAAAGGCTTCCGCCCTGTGTGGGGATTTGTCCCTCTCCACCATGTTGTGCTCGTTGTGGCGATGCCTTACGTGTTGTTTTTTGCGTTACAGACGCCACTTATGGCACTGTGTGGCGCTTCGTCGCCGCTGGTTGCCGGTGACGCCGTGACACTTTGCGTGGCAGTAACATCCATCACTTGGCAGGCGTGGTACAATCGTACATCTACCTTCATTTCACGTGGGCAGGCGTGGCACAATCTCAGATCCACCTTCGTTTTGCGTGGCAGGCCTGGCACTTTAAGCACTGTGGCGCGCTTGATCGCCGTGAGGCGTCTGTGACGCTGTGAGACGTGTGGCAGGCGTGGCACAGGGTGACATCCACCTTCGTTTCAATTGGAGAATCTCACATCCACCTTCGTTTTGCGTGGCAGGCGTGGCACTATGGGCACTATGTGGCGCGCTTGGTCGCTGTTGCTCGTCGGGACGCCGCGGCACTTTGCCTGGCAGTATGAAAGTTGACCACCCTGTGGGAGCACCCTGTGGGTAAGGGTGAAGCGACATGTCATTCCTCATCATGGTACAATTTTATGCACGGAAGATTGGTAGACAACAATCAGCTTGTTGTTGAAGATCTGTGCAGTACGACTTGCAGTTTGGACACGATATCTATAGAAACCGCCACCAAACTTTTAGAAAAAGCGTGTCACAAGCTTCGGGGCATCCCAGAAGTTCCGTCCCAGCGAATCACTGATCTTGACAATGCAACGCGCCAATTGCACCAACTGAGCTGCATTTTGGATAGTTGTACTATCTCAGCGAGTTATGAAGTCAGTGAAGCACAAAAGGCACTTTTGTTGCTGCCCCGCACGGAGAAAGGTTCTAGCACCTCTTCAGAGGAACACTACGCACAGCTGCCGGATCCAACTCACTTTGATGAGCTCCAAGAGCACTAGAGAATGTCCCGCTACTGAGTGGACTCTGAGCGGAATCTGAGAGGTAGAGGCGCGTCCATTTTTCACACCATAGCCCCGTTTCACACTTCGTTTCACGTCCCGTTGGCTACGTGACGGTGTCATTGCTAGTCTCGATTTACAGATTTGTGAGATGTTATCCCTACGGGGCTTGCTCTGTGTGATCTCGGTTGTGAAGTGTGAAGTGTGGACTGTGAAGCGTGAAGTGTGGAGTGTGAAGCGGGAAGAGTGCAGTGGGAAGTGTGAAGTGTGGAGTGTGAAGTGCGAAGTGGAGCTTCAAATGTGACATGTGAAAGAGGACACCACTTTCGCAGAGTGCACCGCACGGGCTTGGCTGGCGCACGGCGCATGCAAGTTCTATAGATGAGAAAGGTCTTATATATATATATTTATATATATATATATTTTTTTTTAAAGGCAACTTCCGCCCGGCCTCGTGCGGGTACTACTGGTAGTTTAATATAGACTAAATATACTATTCGTCCAGAATATTTCTTATTTTGAGATGATAAACTATTTGGATCTTATCAGCGAATAGCCCATTGAATCTCAAGCATAAAAACTGAAAATTAAAGGACCAGATAACCCCACATGTTAAGCCTTCCGATTGTTATGAGACTTTTGGTGATGACTTGGGATAGCTTGGGATGGTGGGAGCAGATAGGTGGATAGGTGGATAGATAGATAGATAGATAGATAGGTAGGTAGGTAGGTAGGTAGGTAGATAGATAGATAGATAGAGAGAGAGAGATAGATAGGTAGATAGATAGATAGATAGATTAGATAGATAGATAGATAGATAGACAGATAGATAGATAGATAGATAGATTGATAGATAGATAGATAGATTGATAGATAGATAAGCAACCCTCCAGAGACTCACCAAGTGCTGTGCCTGCCACGCGAGACAGCATTGGTGTCAACGGCGTCAACGGCGTCAACGGCGTCAACGGTGTCAACGGCATCAAGCAGCCCTCCAGACAGTCACCAAGTGCTGCGCCTGCCACGTTGATAGAGACAAATTAATAGAGACAAGTTGATAGAGACAAGTTGATAGAGACAAGTTCATAGAGACAAGTTCGTAGAGACAAGTTGATAGAGACAAATTGATAGAGACATGTTGATAGAGAGAAGTTGATAGAGACAAGTTGATAGAGACATGTTGATAGAGACATGTTGGTAGAGACATGTTGAGAGAGACAAGTTGATAGAGACATGTTGATAGAGACATGTTGATAGAGACAAGTTGATAGAGACGGCGGGCGACGGCAGGAGGAGGAGGAGGAGAAGGAGGAGGAGGACGCGGATTCCGAACAAAAAGTTAGAACCCCACACAAAGATGTGGGGAACTATCTTGAAATCAGATCTTGGAAAGATGAAATTCTATGCGAAAATTTCTTGAAAACCAAGATGCAAGAGTCAACGTGCAGAGAACGGCTTGAATATTTGCGAGTTGGTATATGTAGAAAACATGTTGTAGATTGACTGAAATTGTGTCATTTGCAAATGTAAGCCATGACTGCTGCTCAATTCTTTTGACAATTCTGCGGCCAATGTCTCATCCTTCTGGCCCACGTTTCTTCAAACGCCTGTGGCAAATTCTGAGTTAATTGAACTTTCAACGGTATTTTCGCAAATAAAGTTCGAACAGAACTCCAAAATGTTGCGCTTCAGGTGTTGCCTTGGGACAAGGATGAAAAAAAAATTGTCAGAAAAATGTCGACTGGAAATGTATTGGAATGGTAAGACGATTGAAAGTAACCAAGCGGCTGCATTCTGGAAGTACTGCTTGTGCTTTTCGAGCCTCCAAGTAGGGGTTCGTCTGAGTAACGTTTTCTGCACAAACTTTGGAGGCGGCTTCTGCTGACTCTTCTGAACTTTGCCTTGGATCTCCGGTTCCTTTTTTTTTTGCTTGTAGGCAGGCGGCGGCATGCTAGACTTGCTAGTCATGGTGATCCTTGAGCCATCAACACGCGAAAAACAGAAAAAAACAAATTGGAAAAGTACATTGGTAAAATTGGGGAAAAGTGTATAGAACTGAAAATGGATTTCTTTCCGCGAAAAACAGAAACAACATTCAGAAACTGAAAAAAATCACCACAGTTGCAACTCTGGAAAACTTGGAGGTCAATTGCAGGCTGCACGTTGGGAGACAGCAAATGTCTCAATTTGATTTTTTTGTTGTCCAACGTCGTTAAATTGTTTTTCACCTCATGCAACACAACATGCATGGTCAATATGAACACATATGGGTTCAAAGGAAAATCCAGTGTTATTCATGTCCTGTTTGTGTGGCAATTGTGTTTTGATGTTGGTGAAAAAATGGGTGCATGAAACTGTCAATTGTGATATCCGTTTATGTAGTGGTGTTTCGCGGCGCGTTTGCCACCCAATTGTGGGTTGCAGTTGTTCTGGCCCAGCATTGAAGAAACATTGATTCCAACACCCGTCGTGCCTTGTAAATCCAAACATGGTTGGATTCAAATGGGGCGTGGATCGCAATGCGTTGGGCATGGCCGACACTGGAGAAGCACGGCTCCGCGTCATTGATGTGAAGGCAACCGTGAAAGGAAAATTCAAATTTGGCCCAAAACAAATATGTCATTTTTTTTTTGAAAATGTTCAGTATGATTTGGGGTGTCGGTCAAATTAACGTTCCATGTTAGAAAACATGAAAACAAGTGGTTGTGGATTGAACAACAAACACCATTGTTTTGCGGTTTACGTTTCCCATTTGGTTTCAAACCATTATCATTGTTGATCTGCATGACTTGTACGATCGTGGACACTTGTTTATGTTTTAAGTCTCCAATCTTCCGCTTCAAATTTCAAATGCACAAAAATATATTCGAATTGCCAGTGTAAACAATCAAAACCAAATCAGGCAGCAGCGGCTGAACTCATTGCCATGACTCTTTTTGTCATCATTGGCTGTGGATCCGCGTGTGCCAATGGAGCTTCCAACCCGTCCAACAGACTTCAAGTGGCACTTGCTTTTGGCATGGGCATCCTTGTTTTGGCTTACTCAGTGGGTCACCATTCGGGAGGTCAGATCAATTGTGCAGTGACCTTGTCCTTGGTATTGGGTGGTCAAGTTCCTTGGTATCAGGGTTTGGTAAACCTGATCGCACAGTTGATAGGAAGCCTCCTGGGAGCTGGCCTTTTGTGCGCAGTCTTTCCGTGTGAGGTGGACGAAACGAAAACTGTGGGTACCAACATCATCGACACTCGTTGGGGAGTCGGGAATGTTCTGGTTGGTGAGTTTTTGGGAACATTTTTGCTTTGCTTTGTGGTGTGGGAGACAGCTGTGTCACCAGTTGCTTCTTGCGGCAAAAACGCTTGCATCGCCATTGGATTTGCAGTCTTCTTGGCGCACGTGATCTTGTTGCCGGTTGACGGTTGTTCCATCAACCCCACACGATCGTTTGGACCAGCGATCGTCGGGGCAATCAGGAACTGTGAAGGCATGTCCACCAAGGGCCTGGAAGAGACTCTGGCACAGCCGATAAACCCGATAAGCAGAAAACCTGTTTTTAAAATTTTCATGTTTTTTTTCAGATTCAGAATTTCAAAACGGTATATTCAAATCAAGGGCCCACGCCTACGCACTTGTAGAACATGTATTCTTGTGAAGGTGTGGTGCGAGGCAACTGTTCCAGTCGTTCGGTTTGGTCTAAGCAAACTCCCCTGCATCCAAGTTCCAAATGGTCAGTGTTGTTGATTTTTTTCCAAATTGACGAATGAATACACTGATAAAAACGAAGTGCCCTCATTTCTCGGCCCCTGGCTAGGATCTTTGGGTGATGTGGGTGGGGCCCCTGCTTGGTGGCACTTTCGCTGCCGCTCTTCATGTTGCTTTCAAACCACGGACTGGGGATACAGTTACCACCACTAAAGTGCAAAATTTTGAATCATGAGCGGTCCATGCGGTCTTGCAGCTCCAATAGCTCGAACAGTTGAGGCGTGGTCCAGACAACAACTGTTTGGTCAGCCAGCTACTGAACATCAAGTAGTGTCAGAAGTAGTGTCAGACACGAAAACTGAAGAATAGCAAGGCGCAAACTTGTCATCAACGGAACTGTGAACTGGTCAGGAGACACTGGCAAAGCCATGGCACTGATCGTTTGAACATGTCCGACAGTTCTACCAAACCACAGTTTGTTAATCATACTTGTGGCCCAACTTGTGGCATCCTTTGATTGTGTAATTGTTGCAGGGCTGAAGTGCAGTAGCATTATATATCCTGTTGAAGATGACTCTCCTGTTTTGTTTCACAGAGGGTCTTCTTGTTCAAATTTGAATTTTTCTTGCATTCACCGGCCGGTGGCATACACTGACAACAGCCCAGCTTTCAGCACTGTGACCCTGGCACCCGACCAAAGTCGTGGGGTTGCCAAAAGGAATTGCTAAAATGGCACAAAAAAGTGGACATACGAGTGAGACCAGTCGATTCGGCTGAGACTTGGGAGAGTCTTCCAATCTTCCAAACATCAGTGATAAGAAAAGTCTTGTTTCTTATGGTTTTGTCGGTGAGGTGAATGCAAAATCATACTTTTAGTATCTGCCGAACTATAGCCTAACTTTTAGCAATTTTTCGCAATCTGCCTGTAATCTCCATGACTCCATGGCAGCGTTGGCTCATGTTGGCATGCCGCTGGGGCAAACTCGGGTGGCCGCTGTGACTGCCCCGATGAGTCCCACGTGGCCTTGATGCGCAAGGGTTCGGTATATTCCAGGGTTTAACGGTTTACCCCATTCTTTTGCAATGGTTTGTGTCAAATCCATTCAAATCCATAGTATCTATATCTATATCATTCTCTATCTATATCTATATCATATTATATCTATAATTGCAAAATAGTTTCATGTCCACCCATGCCAAGGATGACACGCACAAATCAAGATGCAAAGTGCAGTAGATTCCAGTTTGCATTCACATGAAAACCATGTGAGGATGTTTTACTTCCGTGGCCTTATTGGCACAAAAAGGTTGCGCATTGCCCGCCGTTCTTTCACATGGTAGAGGAGCTGAAGGCTGAATACCAGCTTCTGCTTTGGCCTTTGATTTCTGGGATTGGTCTGGAACTGCAGTGCTCAAATACAAGAAGCAACAACTGGCTTTGGATTTTATACTGATACTGGAAGGACGTTACGTCCATATACAGGTTTCAATTTCGAACAGTTTTTGCAATTTGGTGAGCGTGTCTGCATTTTTCCATTCAGGTGCAAGTAGATTTCAGTCTGATCAGTACTGCCTCTGCATAGGCTATACTGGTAGCGTGGTTTTCAGTGGAATTTTCACAGTGCTTTCACAACCAGGAAGCCCAACAGCAGGTGGTGCAGTTGGAGATGGCGCTGCGCCTACACAGGCGGTTGGTGGCCTGGCAGTTGCTTTGAAGATGGTTGCAGCTGCAGAGCAAGCAAAGAATTGGTGGAAACTTCTGCCAAAACCCCCAGTGTTTGACCATGCAACAAGAGAGAGGCAGAGATAGCAGCCTGGAAGGAGTGGCCTTGGACGTTTGAACAGTATGTAGGGTCAGTGGATAGCAAGTTTCTGGATGACATAGAACAGCTTCGAAGCAATCCAAACGTGGCTGTGGATCCAGTTGACTTCACAGACTTGGAGAAGCAGCGCAACACCTTCTTCTACAGCTTGTTGTCTTCATTGTTGAGACAGAGGGCTTTGCTTGTTGTGCGCCTCAGGTGCCAATGATTGGAAGCCTACAGAGCGTTGATCCAGCAGAATGAGCCTGTGAGCAAGAACCGCAGCATGGGCTTATTGAATGTGATCATGAACTGGCCTGCATTCAATGGAAAAGCTTCCCTCATGCAACAGGTATTGAAACTGGAGCATGCATATGCAGAGTAAGAGAAATTGGGAAGCAGATTGGATGATGATTTGAAGACTGCAATTTTGATGCGTTCAGTGACAGGTCAAACTCAAGACTTGGTCTTTCCTTTCCCTTTGCCTTTCCCTTTGCCTTTCGAAGTTTGCTTAGAGCTGTCCTTGAAGTTCTCGTTGAATCTCATGTAGAAGGATTGTCCACCTCCATGAGTGGTAGATCGCATCACCGCCACGAGGTTGCCACGGGCCTGGAACCTTCCTTTCAGGTACAAACGATGCAAGGTGGCCAGGAGCTCGGATATGCTTCAGAATGTTTGCACTCATGTGGTATTGCAGTTGCAACATGTCTGAATGTTCCCAGCATGTCAGAGTTGATGCACACTTTGGATATGATAGCGGAAGTTGGGTATGCTCCAGCATCTATCCTGCATCTTTCCTTGTCCTTTGCGGTGATTGGGTCGGCAATTGCGCTTCTCATGAAAATTGGCGCCATCCTTGAATTGTCTCATTTTTATGGGACCAATTTGGAGCCTGAGTTCATCTTGGAGGTCCTACTATGGTTTGACGCGGTAGCTGAGTACATTGACACGGTTGGGTTCTGGGTTTGCTCTCTGTCCTTGATCGCTGTCCTTTTTGTATCAGCCTCTTTTCGAAAGGGCCTTTTCAATGAGAATCAATCTGGGGTGAGGAGACAGAAGTCCTAGTTGGGTGCGCTATGGCTGAGTGAGTCTTCAAAAGGTGGTGGCCTTCCCCTTGATCTACGAGGTGGGCATTCTAGCAGGAAGAAAAAGAACAAGGCCATGAGAAGAAAGATTGAACAAAAAGAAAGATGGAAACAACCGCAGCAACAGGCTACCATGAACAATACGCTTGAGCATCCTAGCCCTGAAGAAGAAGTTGCACAGTCTTCGGAAGGTTGTTGGGATATCAATGAATGTAGGAGCGGCAGTGGCGATAGTTTGACCTATGACAGTTGCCTTGAGGAAGATGAAGAATCAGAATCCCATGAAAACGATGAAGAGGATGATGAGGTCTTCAATGACATGTCGGTACTCATCCCTGAGGAAAGCGATGAATTGGAGTACCTCCAGCTTCTTGAACCTTCTTGGGACCTTGAGGCTGACGATGTCTCCTACTATGATGTTCCTGAGGATTTTTGGGTCGACTATGACTCTATCCAATCGGGGGGCCACATTTTCAATTTTGAGGTCGAGGAGGAGGAATGCCTGCGAAGCGCCTCCACCGATGACTTTGGGGCATCTCAGATCATCAGTATGCAAATTGAGGCAGACATGAAGCTTTTTGCAGATGAGAAGGAATGTCCCAGATTTATGAAATTTGAGAGTTGCAATTTTGCAACCAATGAGGTTGAGAAAATTCGAGAATTGCAATTTTGCGGAAACTGACGGCAGTGCGGATAGCTTTGAACCCTATGAAGAAGATGACAATTTCGATGACGAGATCTTGTACTTTCTTGCGGCATTGGAAGATGATGGACTTGGTGCAGCCTTATCCAGTGAGGGTTTGGGTAAGGTTCTCTGTCATGCTGATGCAGCACCAACAGATCTTCGTGGAGGAGCTGGTGGCAGTCATGTAACCAGGAAGAAGAGAGACATCTCAAAGCTCATCGCCGACCTTGAGGAGTGGCACGATGAGGCAGATGAGGATGACATGAAGAGACTTCTGATGAAGATTGTTGAGGTTGTGCAGACTTGGAACAGCAGAGGAGAGAAGAAAACAAGTGAGAAACCAAAGGAGGAGGGGAAGAAGGGAAGTCATGGAGGAAAGACCAAGACCAAGTCCAACAACGACAGTGTTCCGAGGTTTGATCTTAGCAGACAGTTTCCTCGAGCGGAAGTTACCTCGTGGCAACACGCGGTCTATCAGCTTGAACAAGGGAATGCTCCGCGTGGGGAAGTCTGCATCTGCCGTGATGTGGCCATGATGATTGAGATGCAACAGATGGCAAAGGCGCTTTCAATCACTAAGAAGATGACCTTGGTGGCGAAAGCCAACAATGCTGCAGAGCCGAAGCCTATCGAATCCAAGGAGATGATGCTGCCGATCTTGGGCAACCTTGCGCTTCTTGCCAGCTGTGTCTGTTGCCTTTCTGGAGAGGAGCCGACCTTGAAGGGCACCATCCCTAAGGAAGTGAAGATTAAAGCAAATGTTCTCGATGTCCTTCGTGTCACTGTGCCAATGAAGTACATTCCCAAAAAGCATCACAACTTGTTGTACGAGAGACCAGAGTTTGCGCTGAGACTTTGTGAGTGGAGCGCAGAAACAAAAACCCATCGATGGGAGTCAGCCCAAGGATGTATCACTGGATTGGCCAACCTTGCAAAGGGTCATGCTGAGGAGTTGTTGAAACAGAGTGGAAAGGGTGGTGTGTTTTGGAGCCAGCTTGCACAAAATGTCACAGTGAAGCCAGACATCACGTGGATTGTCCCAGAAGATGGTGAGGAGCCCTTGAAGTACTTTGCGAGAGTTCAAATTGAGGCTGAGAAGGCTTCAGTTCCAATGGCGTTCAGGAAAGGAGGTGGAGCAGATCTTGGTGTGCAGAAACGAAGTGAGGACGAGAGCCATCGTAGCTATGCTAACTGGGGCATTCCGGGCCACTTTGGTCCTGAATCGATTGCTGAACTCCTGACTGCCGAAGGTTGGAAGTTGAGCGGCAGACCTACTGCCCCTCGAACCACAAAAGGTCCTTGGAGAGCTCAAGGGCAGGCACCTGACAATCAACTTGAATGGGGCTACAAGTATGAAATTGGAGGGAAGATCAAGCATATCAATGTTGTACCTTGGCGCACCAATCGAAAGATTGAGGGTGAGACCGAGCACATTGCCAAGACGAGGTGGTTATCAAAGGATGATGAATTTGAGATCCAGCCCACTGTGTTGGATCCACTTTCTGACTCAGTCGACGCAGAGGACAACTATGGAAGTTGATGAAGGATTTAAGAGCAACAAGAGGAAAGACGCAACAGGAGAACTCACAGCAAAGAAAGCTGCCAAAAAGAAAAGCTCTGTGATCAAGGGTGGAATTGAGGGCCCACTTCAAACGAGGATCCTGAACTTAGGTGGAAATGGAGACTGTGCATGGCGTGTCTTGGCATACCTCATTGCGCAGACCAATGCCAAGTGGACCAAGGACGAGCATGAGATTGCTGAGCGTTCGGATGCACTGGGCGCAGTCTTGAGAGCACAGGCCATCACAAACCTGACAGTGAAGGACCAAAGTTGGGAAGAGTCTTATTGTGAGGACCCAAGGTGGACTACAACTACGGAGGGGGGAGAACCTGCCAGGGATCTGGATGACTTCAAGAACAATGTCTTGCCACGTCCCAACAGGTATATTTGCCACCTTGGTTTGCAGGCGGTTGCCACCTCGAAGAAGATCAACATCTTGATTTGGGAGCTTTTGGAAGACAAGTGGACGAAGGTGGCCTTGTTGACGCCCCCTTCCTATGGAGCGAAGACGCCTACAATCCACCTTGCGCTGGGTGGTCAACACTATTTTGCATGTGTCAAGCAATCCAGGGCCTATCCGAAAGCGCTTGCAGAGATTGAGGAGCTTGGTGGCATCTTTGTCAGTCATGGGCTTGAATCAGATGTCATCGAAAATTCACAGAAGGACATGGATATGGCAATCTTCAGGGCTGCAGGTGGGCATCATGAGTTTGTCACACCGATGAAATCGAGATCTAAGTCTGTTGATTCTTTGCTTCGGTCTTTTCGATCCACTTCAAGTAGGAGCTCTGATTTGCTGAGAACTTGCAGCTCGGCCAAATCCCTGAAGCACAATGGAGAGAGCAAATACAGGCAGATGAATTGGATCAACAACCAGATGAAGAACGGCAGATGGAAATGCAAACTTTGTGAGTTTGAGATCAAGGTTCAGAGCCGATGTGAAAGGATGTCTATCATCCGACACATGAATGACAACCATCCCAAAGAAAGGGAAGCCCAAAATGCTGCACTGAAGAACTACAGCAATGAAAGACAACTGAAGCGATCTGAGGAGTGGGAAAGAGTTGCAAAGGAGGAGGAGAAGAACGGTAGAGAACGTGGACATTTGCCGATTCGTGTCCAGATGAAGTTCAAAAGAGGCCGCACAGGAAAGATTGGAGTCATTTGCAAAAGATGCCTCACGCAACCTCTTCAGCGGAAGAAAGGTGTTTGGAATGGAGACTGCAATGGTACCCCGCAAGAAACAATGTGGGGAGAAGCCAAGCCTGGCAGCCAGTGGTGGAGGAGAGTTGCAGATCCAGAGGAGGCAGTTGGCCGCTTGGATGTCCCTTGCAGATGGAAGCACAGAATCCTCAAAGAGATTCCGAATGAAACAAAGATTGAGTTTGAGAAGGTACAAACGCAGGAGGCTGATCTCATTTGCCCTTTCTGCAAGCTTGGTGTCAAGAACTTCAAGAAGGCAACGTACAATGCGCAGCAAATCAAACTGCAACATTTGAAAAGTTGCAAGATGGCACCGGTTGGGGCCAATTGCAGGACATGGCACAATGCATGGGTTCGCAACCATGAGACAACGTGGCATCGAGTCCGGTGTAAGAGGCTTGCACTTGGGAGATTGAAAAAGAGGGGATCTGAGAAGTACAGCCACGACCCCACAGTGATCTCTCTTCGAAAGCCGAATCGGAAGAGGATGATGAATCTGACGATGTGCAAGCGATGCCTCATTCCTGCGGAGAACAAGCGCAGATGGAGGCGCCCATGTATTGCTGGAGTTGCATACAACTCCAAAGAAGAAGTCATGCCTGGTCCCTTTTAGTGGAATCAGCTTGATTGGGAAGAGGCGGTTGAAGTGCTGAAGATTGACAAGAAGTGCCAGGAGTAAATCCAGAATGAGCTCACAGCCTGGAAGGATGGCCAGGCAAAAAAGGATGAGTGAAGCACCGAGCAAACCCCTATGCCGTGGCTTAGGGGTGGAGCTATGCAAAAACCACGGAAGAAAGATGCTGCGAAGTTCTCCACATTTTTGGTCAATCAATTTTGGTGGAATGCCAGGTTTTTGGCGTTGTGCAAATCTCTTGGCCTCGATCGATGTGAACAGAAGACCCCATGTGATTTGCTGTCAAGAATTGATCTGCTGGAAAGAGAGATGGTTGACAGTTGTACAAAAAATGGAGTCCTTTGGGTATTCATCTTATGCGACAAAGAATGTGACCACTGGCAAGAAATCTAGGGGGTGCGCCACTTTCGTTGCTAACAGTTTGGGTTCACAATTGATCAACTCTTTCGACAACAGTGATGGTGCTGCACTTGCCATCTGCACAGGTGCTACCCTGGTGCTCAATTGCTATGCACCTCCTCGTGCAGATTGTGCAGCGGCCTCTGCAGGACACCTCAATGAGCTCCTCATTGGCATTTCTTGGGAACAGAGGCATGTTTGGGTTGGAGATTGGAATGTTCCATTTGAGGACAACTGGGTTAAGTCACTAGCTTCTGACTACAATTTGAGGGTTGCGTCAACAGTTGCCACGACCACGCGATGGAAGGGCAGAACGGTGATTGACTACTTTCTTCATGATTTTGGTGACACTTTGGCGCATCCACTGGTTCATGAAGTCAGTGATCACAAGATCATTGAAGCAACCTTTCCAATTCCGAGGAGCAGCTGCAAAGAGTTTGTCTTTCTCAAGCAGAAGCCATTCATACTTTCTGCCTGGCTGTCTCAGGAGAGATGGATTTGCCTAATCAAAGAAGCTCATTGCATTGGAGACTGCAATGGATGGGATGAAGTTTGCAACGCTTTGGAACCATGCACTGCAGAAACAGCGAGCCCCTCAGAGGACTTGGATCAAGCTTTGGCTGACTACATGTGGAATCTTACTATGATGAAGTTGGCTTGGACGTTGTCGAAAGCCTCTTACCTGGCGCTACTGGAGATGCCTGATGTTGTGACCAACTGGCAAAATGTGAAGGAAGTTACACACAATGCCAATAATTGGAGACGAGACAGATTGCATGCCAAGCGTGTGGAGAGAGAGTTTCCAAAGTTTGGTGACAGAAGGACTATGAAACATCGACAAACTCTCAATTGCCTCAACAGAACAAAAACTTTGCAGCTTCATTTGGAGAGCCGGAGATGTGATCAAAGAACAATGGCGATGGTTAGGAAACTTTATCCTGATGCCCTTCCTCACCTTCCATCTCTCTCTCTGTTGTCAAGGCCGACGTTGAGAAGCTGCGAAAGGTGGTTCAGCAGATTGAAAATGATGAGAAACACGAGAACTTGGGGAGTTGGAGGAGGAAAATGAAGCAGCTGAAATATCGCAGCCAATGGTTGACAAAGGCAAAGGTGAGTCATTTTCCCAATCTTTGCGTTGGTGAGCATGTCTTCCGTACGAAACATGAGGCTGTGAGCATGTTGTTTGAGCATTGGGATCAGTTACAGCGGCGTGTTCAATGGTCTGACTATGGCTTTGTTGAGCAATCTGCAGACCTTAAGGAATTCTTCAAGGAGCGTCTCCAAGTTGATGCATGTGGACCAGATCACAAGGACTTTATGAAGTCCCTCAGACGTGCCAAGGGTGCCCCAGGGTTGGATCAGTGGACGGCTGATGAAATGCATTGGCTGGGGAATGTTCCAACAATCGCCGAAGAAATTTGGAGCGTGATGCAGGGATGGAGCTCCTGCACCCCATCCATTTCGCAGCAGCTGCGCATGGCTTGGATTCCGAAGCAGAATGTGGAGGACTTTGTCATCCCTCCCAAGAAGATGAGGCCGATTACTGTGATGTCTGTTTGGTGGCGTGCTTTCAGCAGTACTTGGATGCGGTCCAAACCGATCAAGGGCATCATCGCAAAGATGCCACAGAGCATACATGGCATCAAAGGTCGTGGACCAGAGGTAGCTGCATTTATCGTTGATGCTGCGGTCAAGAAGTCGAAGTTTGCTTGCACTTTAGATTTCACCAGCTGCTTTGATACGGTGAATGTCAAACTACTTCATGAGGTCCTCTCTAGCATTCTTCAAGGTGACATTTTGCATTGGAGCAGATGCGCATTGGGACACTGGCTGAAATGCAAGAAATGGTTTGTCAACTCAAGACTTGGTTGCAACTTCAGGTGTCTGAGACAACAACTTATTCCAAGGTGCGTGAGATGATTCCGCTGTATGATGCTTCGACTACACGTTGGTCAGAGCAAATGGCGCTGGGCTCAGACAATGCTACAGCAAGTGGCGATGGACCAGTGCCTATGGAGATAGATAGGATTCAGCAGAAGGGCAAGTCAAAAGGCAAAGGGAAGTCCAAAGACAAGGGCTATGGAAAAGGTCAAACAAAGGGCAAACAAAAGGGAAAAGATTCCAAAGGCAAAGCCAAGGGCAGTGATCAGAAAGGTTCCAAAGGGAATGCTGGTGAACGATCAAAAGGGAAAGGAAAGGGCGATGGCAAGATTTGTTACATATGTGGCCGTAGTGGGCATTTTGCTCGTGACTGTTGGCAAGGACAAGGACAAGTCAGGAATGTTGCCTCAGAGGTGACCCAAGTTCCTACAACTCAGGGCTCTCCAATGTCTTCAACCAGTGGCATGACGAGTGTGTCACAGCAGCCCCAGTCTGGAACTCAAACTCAGATGCCAACACAAGCCACTCAAACGCGCGTTGTCAGTGATGATGTCCATAGACATGATGATCTGATTTTCGATATGCGTTGTGCTAGCCCATCAAGTCTTCATGGCGATGTTCATGTGGTGCACTTTTACATGGGTGACAGTGGTGAAGATGAGGTTGCTTGCAATGGTTTTGTACGCACAATTGGCAGTTGCAATGATCCAGATGGAGAACATGCCCACACAATCCTGTTAGATTCTGGCGCAGATGAACCTGCTCGAGATGCTGTAGGTCGACTGCATGATGCGCAAGGCAGAGAGATACCAGTTGAAGCAGTGCAAGACATGGAAATCAAGCTCAAAGATATCACTGGTAAAAGCATTTTGCTTAGAGAGCGCGTTGCAGTTTCAAGCATGTTTCAAAAACCCATTCTGTGCTTTGGTCATTTTTTGGAGAGTGGCTGGAGTGTGGATGGAGTTCAGCAAGCTTTGGCTCACAGCGCAGGTGCCCATGTTCCAAGTGATTTGCAAAACAAGCCCATGGCTGTGTATGGTGAGATACGTATGCTGCGTGAAGATGCAAGTGCTTCAGGTTGTTTTCATGTCAGGGCCATTCAGGCAGACGTCATGGACTATGTGGTCAATGGTTCAGTTGGCTGGGAACTTGATGAGTATGGCCGTGGGATTGGTAGGCATTTCTCAGAAAAGTTTCAAGATCCTACTCTGGTGAAGCCTGGACTGTCAGGGTCTCTTTTCAGGACGACGTTGGTTGAAGGAGATGACGAGAAATGGTACATGGTTGAACTCTGTGAAAGCGTTGCTGAGTTGATTCAGTTGGATGCAGAGTTTTGTGCGTTGAAGGGAAAACGAAACGTGATCACAATTCTCACAGATGCTGAGAAAGATCCTTTGGTGATGGGATTCAAGTTGATGGATGAATCTCCTGAGAGCTTTCCTGTGGTCCTGAAGGTGATGGTTTGCACGTTGATGATGATCAGGATGTGGATTTGCCAGGTGTAGTTGAACAGCTGAAAGGCCGTGAGATTCCAGAAGGTCAGATTGCAGCGCGCCCAGAACCAGACGAAGTTTTGGTGAATGGTACAAAACTCAACATGAACAGTGCTTTGGCAGAGTTGCGTACTGGATGTACCTTTTTCAACTTGTCCACTTCAGGGTCAAAGCAACGTTGTTTTCAGAGGATTGTTGATCATTTGAAGAAGGTTGAATTGGAAACTATGATGGCTACAGCCAAAGCAGCTCAGAATGAGATGGAGAGACAACCTTCTGCCAGACCCTCAGCTACACCACCTTCAGAGGCTGAACAAGCGTTGCATAGGCTCACACACCTTCCCTATGCAAATTGGTGTCCAAGTTGTTTTGAGCCAGAGGGCACGACCAGACAGACATGAAAGGACAGGTGAATCTCATGCTGGAGTCGTACCAACCGTGAGTTTTGATTTCTTCTACACAAAGGCAGATGGAGAAGAAGAGCCAGGTGAGAACACACCAGATACTGTCCTGAGTTTGATTTTGGTTTGCAGTGCAACGGGCTTTCAGTGAAGTGATTCTGCGGTGTGACAATGAACCCGCAATCTTTCAGTTGCAGCGCCTGGAAGTGAAAACTCGACAGAGCATGGGGTTGAAAACTCGGATGTCAAGCTCAATTGCCTATGATCATGGAAATTCATTGGCAGAAAACGCTTTTGCCAGGGTCAGACAACTGGCAGCTAGCCTCGTGCACCAGCTTCATGGAAGGATTGGTATTCAGTTGTCAAGTGGTTCAGCGTTGTGGACTTGGGCGTTACGCCATGCAGCTTGGTTGATCAGCAGGTTTGCAGTGCTACGTGGAGCCACGGCTTTCGAGCTGGCAATTGCTCGAAGGTTTGCTGAAGATTTGTGTGAGTATGGTGAACCTGTGTACGGCTATGTGCACCCAGGTGGCAACAAAGCAGCTGCAAGGCGGCGTCGAGCTTTGTTTCTTGGAAAGGCTGACACACAGAACCGCTATGTCCTTTTCGATGGCCAGTCAATCATCTTGGCCAAAAGTATCAGGCGCATCAGCACAACATGGCGGGGCCACATGGCCTATTACCTTCACTGCAAATGCTACAGCTGGCAATTCAAATCAGGCTTTGGTGCAAGGATTCTTCCAACCATGAAAAAGATGGTCCCCCAGTCGGTGAGCTTTGAGGTACAACTGGGTCCCATCGAGGACAGTAAGCTTCATGATGCTGAGGCTGAAGCAGTGATCACTTTTGCAGAAGATGAGAAGAAAGCTGAGGAAGAAAGATTTGCAATGACCATGAACGATCCAATCAGAGAACGTGCTCAGTTGGACCAGCAGCAATCCTCAGTGTTTGGTGATGGTGCTCAGGGTGAACCGGTTGTGGTGCATGTCCCTGTTCCAGTTGCCTCTCAAGCTGGAGAATCTTCAAGCGCAATGGCCATGGATCCTGGACTCATGGTTCCTGTCACGCCTCCAAGGGACTATGAAGTTGTTGAGAGTCCAAGGGGTTCTTCGACTTTGAGGGCGTCAGATGGAGGAGGAGATGAGGATGTGGAATCCAAAAGAGCGCGTGTTGAAGAAGCAAAGAAGCAACGTATCAACAGATTGCGTTTGGAGTATGAACAGAGAATCAGTGCGGTGAAGATTGCATACAAGGAATACTTCATGTTGATGAAGATCTATGGGCTGGAGAAGATGATGTGAAATTTGACTCAGGTGTTCCAGAAGCGCTTTGGTCAGACCTCCCAATCACCAGATGCCTGGTTGGATGAGCTTGCAGACAAAGTGGAAATCGAGAGGTTGTGCAGCATGGGACTTTTGGTTCACGCTGAAGAGTTTGCAGGTGAAATCTGTGGGAAACTCACCACCAAGTTTGTTCGAGATTGGCGCCTCAAACCCTATGGTGCTGATCAGACTTTAAGTGGGATGAGAAGATCGAGGTTTGTTGCAAGGGAGTTTGCTCAGGAGAAGCGCTTGGACACGTTCAGCCCAGCAACAGGTGCTCACACAGCAAATGTTTTGCTGCTGCAGTATCTATGGTTGAAAGATTGTGCAAAGCAGATGCAAGGGCAAGGCGATTACATTGTGGTCATGGGTTGTCTGGATGTGAAAGATGCCTTCCTGATGGTAGATCAGGACCAACCAATTCTTGTGCATCTACATGGCCAAGCGTTTGTGATTCGAAAGAATTTGCCAGGTCAGAGAATGGGTGCCAAGCAATGGTATCAGCACCTCAGAGATCACCTGGAAACAGCTTTTGGATACACGTTTTGCAGTGAACAGCCCTGCCTTGCAAAGAACAGTTTCTCTACGTTGCTCATACATGTTGATGACATCCTGTATGTTGGAAAACAATCGTACTGGGAAGAAACGTTTTTGAAGGGGATGAGTGAGAAGTTTTCAGTCAGCCATTCAAAGCTGGAAGGGGAAGGTAGCAGCATCACTTTCCTCCAAAGAAAGATCACAGACATGGGAGATTGGTTGATGCTTACCCTTGGAACAAGCGTTGAGAAGGTTGTGAAACTTTTCGAAGATGCTTTTGGTACTGCAAGGAAACAGAAGGTCCCATGCGATGCCAGTATACAGCTGCAGGATGACTCAGAGAAGCTCAGTGCAAAAGACGCATCAGCATACAGATCTGTGGTAGGCCTATGCCTACACATCAGTCGAGAGCGTCCAGATTTGATGTTCACAATCAAAGAGCCTGCGTCAAGTATGTCCTCGCCATCACTTACAAGCTTGCAAAGGTTGAGAAAACTTGTGGGGTATATGAGATATGTTGGGGATGTGGGAGTGAGATTGCACACCCCAGTACCTGGCCAAGGGAAAGGCTGCAGTGGATGTGACCGCAGTTGGGTGTTGGAGACCTACAGTGTCGCAGACTGGTCATCCAACAAGTCACACAGGCGTTCGACATCAAGCGGCATCCATCTGGTTAATGGAGCATTCATGTACGGCAGCAGCCGTGGCCAGAAAACAATCTCTTTATCCTCTTGTGAAAGTGAGCTTCACAGCTTGGTCAGTGCAGCTTGCGACGGCTTGTTTTTGATGGCTTGCTTGCGTTTTGTGTTGGGAGAGGAAATCTTGCATTTGGTTTACACTGATAGCAGCTCAGCACGGCAGTTAGCCAGCAGGCAAGGATGTGGAAGAGTGAGACACATATCAGGAAAGTGCTGTGGATCCAGGAGAAGACCAATTCAGGTGAGCTGACTTTGCGCCAAGTTGGAACTACGTGGAACATTGCAGACGTAGGTACCAAGGCTCTCCCACAACATCGACTCTTTGTTTTGATGAATGAAATTGGGATGGTCTACGGTCTATGTCAACACCTTTGAGGATGTTGGTATTGAAGAGCATCAACGTCAGGTGGAAAAGTCCAACAACAGCCAGCAGCTTCAAAAGGCAGCAAAGTTGATCATGAGGTTATGTGTTGCAATGGGCCTTGAGCCAACGGGAGCAGCAGCTCAGCAGTGCATTGCTCCTGGTGTGGTCTACAAAGACCAAGTGGCATACGGTACAATTTTCATGGTGGTTTTGCTTGCGTGTGCAATGGTTGGACTGGCAATGTCTGGATGGAAAAAACTGAAGGAAGCAATGCGAGATGTGGAATCCATTCAGGTGCAATTGGCAGATCACTACGACTATGCAGCATGGTTGTGTGAACGTTTGGATAACCTGAGCTATGGAGAGACAAATGATGAGAGATTGAATCAAACCAGTGTCAGATTGACAGTGCTGGAAGCAGGTATCAGAGATGGGATGCAAGTCCTGGATGAGACGACAGATCAACTGAGATATGGGCTGATGGAGCTGGGAGGATTCATGCGAGATCAGGCTCTTACAGCTGCTCAGAGATTTCACATGTTCATTCAGGAACGTGCCAACGTCGTTTTGTGGCAGATGAAACAGAGGAACCCAGACACCACTGACGAGGTTCAACATGAACACCATGAAGGAGGAGAATCAGAGGTTGCAACAGATGATGAAGAGCCAGGGCCATCAACACCGGCTACAGGGCTGACAAGGCTCCTTTCAGTTCTGAGAGGGGAGCAAAATGCAGCGCTGGCACAAGAAGCTTTCAGCGATGCCAGCCAGATTCAAAATGGAATTCTGGCAGTTCTTGGTGCTACTGCTACTTCTGGTGATTGAGCCGGCAGGGCTTACAATACCGCTGGCCAATGAGACCAGAAACATATTCCAGCGCCTTTTCAGGAGCGCCAGAAACAGAGGTGAAGATGAACGTGCAACTTCATATCGAAGATATGTGTATGATTTGCATGGACTCATGGGTGGCTCTTGAACTTTGATGTGAGAAGAGTTTGGTGAAATTTCCAGATACAAAACTCTGGAAGAGACATCAAAGCACGGCAGACTATAGAAGCTGTGCTCAATACTCTGAGGAGGAGTGCAAAGAGTTTCATGCCCACCCATGCCAAGGATGACACGCACAAATCGAGATGCAAAGTGCAGTCGATTCCAGTTTGCATTCACATGAAAACCACGTGAGGATGTTTTACTTCCGAGGCCTTATTCGCACAAAAAGGTTGTGCATTGCCCGACATTCTTTCACAATAATATATATTTATGTATATATATATATATGTGTGTGTGTAACATCTTAATAGATGTAAAACTTTTCTCTTTTTCTTCCTTCTGTCCTCTCCCTTTTTAAACCTAGTAGCAGGGGGCACAGGTGTGACTCTGGTTCCTGTGCCAACGAAGACGGCCAGATGTCACAGTGATATCAAGGGGAGACGTCCCTTTGACGTACCTGCCAACAATGTTTATTTCATTTTCCGATATGGGAAGAGGCTCAACCCAAGAACCTCCACGTCGTCCATTTGATAATTTCAATTTTCTGATTAGTTCTGCTGCATCAGAACCTACCTCAGTATTTTCGCCGAAACCATGTCGCCGACATTATTTCTGATTTTCTGGATTATTTCGCCGAAACCATGTCGCCGATGTATTTGGATTATTTTGTCAAAACCACGTCGCCGATCTTGGACATGGAAATCATTCAGGAGAACTTCTATTATTCGTAGGATGCATCGTTACTTTCTTTGTTTCGTATCTAATCTGCATGTTTCAGGATTCAGTTCCTGCCGGATCATATAATGATCCATTCTTGTCTAGTGTGATTCCTATGGTGACTCCGACATGGTGCCATAGGGCCAATTGAGGCAACCCTGTTTAGGGTGAATGTCGACTGACCTGAATTCCGAATTCACACATTTTAACCTAGTAATTCGTTTAAGTAAAGCGAAACAGTCGGCCTTTCGGTTGTGCACCGTTTTTGGGGATTCTCGCTGCTCCGGCTGTCCCTTGAGACCCTTTGAGGAATGCATTCCTTACAGAGTGAAGCCGTTCCGAACTGCCAGAAACTTCATTTTTTACTACTGCAGCCCGCGCTTTTGAAGTTCAACATGACATGTGAGACAACAGGCAACAGGCATGTCCTTTTCCTGCAGGTGTGGTCTCTTTGGTATCTGGTGAGGTGAAACATGTTGTGCACCTAATTCGCTGGAACTTGAAAGCCGTTTTATGCCAATTGGGGCAAGACTTGACCACGGTCCCGGTGCAGGGAATAATCGCACGACCTTTAGGTTTAGGAACTGAATCCTGTTTTTAATTAATTGTTTTGGTTTTCCTGTCTGTCATCAACTTGTCCCCCATTTGGTCCCTAATTTCCCCGCGTGCCTCTCCGTAATGTGTCGTGGGGTTTAGGTGTGTGCGCTGTTTTGATCAGGTCCGTTTCGCCGTGTAGGTTGGTTCCGGAGGTCCGTCTGTTCCCCTCCCCCCCTGCGCTGTTTTTGGCCGTTTGCCCTTCGTGTGTCCGCTTTTTTCTTCCTCTTGCCTTTCAGGGTTGACCCGGCTCTGGCCGGGTGTGTGTGTAACATCTTAATAGATGTAAAACTTTTCTCTTTTTCTTCCTTCTGCCCTCTCCCTTTTTAAACCTAGTAGCAGGGGGCACAGGTGTGACTCTGGTTCCTGTGCCAACGAAGACGGCCAGATGTCACAGTGATATCAAGGGGAGACGTCCCTTTGACGTACCTGCCAACAATGTTTATTTCATTTTCCGATATGGGAAGAGGCTCAACCCAAGAACCTCCACGTCGTCCATTTGATAATTTCAATTTTCTGAATTAGTTCTGCTGCATCAGAACCTACCCCAGTATTTTCGCCGAAGCCATGTCGCCGACATTATTTCTGATTTTCTGGATTATTTCGCCGAAACCATGTCGCCGATGTATTTGGATTATTTTGTCAAAACCACGTCGCCGATCTTGGACATGGAAATCACTCAGGAGAACTTCTATTATTCGTAGGATGCATCGTTACTTTCTTTGTTTCGTATCTAATCTGCATGTTTCAGGATTCAGTTCCTGCCGGATCATATAATGATCCATTCTTGTCTAGTGTGTGTGTGTGTGTACACCGTTATAACAAACGGTTTTAGTTCTTGTCATCGATCTTGTACTATTCAAAAAAAGCAGGGGGCAGAGATACCCATGTCACTTTCTCTGCCAACGAAGCTGGGTGACATGTGGTAAGGATATAGATCAGGGACGCCTGATCTACGTACCTGCTATAGTTTCAACTGTTGACTTTCTGTTCTTGTTTATGAGCTGTGCGTTGTTTCTTCGATCGTGAATCTGTGTCCGCTGAAATTCTACTGCCGGGCAACTCAGGAAATCAGGCGAAGACTATGACATCATTCACACTTTTTACTGGCCATTACCCCACAGTGTGTCCTGGGTGTTTGACCTAACTTGGTCGCACCGTCGGTTGGTTTCGACCAATCAAAAAGTCATGAGCGGGCATTTTCCCGTATTCCGAGTGGAGTATGAATCTCCGAAGCCGTATGCACTTCGAGTGCATTTCAAGCGTCATATGACGGAGTCAAGATTTTACACTGTAAAATCCAATCGAAGCAGCCATAAGGCGAAGAAGCCATAAGGCAGAAGTTTCGTCCAGTTCGGACAAAGCAGACATAAGTCGAAGTTCCCAGCACCACGGGTGCAATACAAGTGCTTTTGGTCTGGTCGGAGTCTCAGTAGCATTTTCACCTCACTCGTCATCGTCATCAGGTTCTTTTTAGGCCATGTATTCATTCTCTTAGGCAGGCTCCTTAGGTTTGTTTTACCAGGTATAGCACATGGTTCAACGTTTTGTTTCTCACATCACTCGTCATCGTCATCAGGTTCTTTTGAGGCCATGTATTCATTCTCTTAGGCAGGCTCCTTAGGTCAGATTTACTAGGCCTAGAACATGGTTCAGTGTTTTATTTCTCACATCACTCATCATCGTCATCAGGTTCTTTTAGGCCATGTATTCACTCTCTTAGGCAGGCTCCTTAGGTTACTATATAGCAAACGGTTTAGTTTTGATGAATCAATCATGTTTTGATAAAGCAGGAAATTTGTTTTGCAGATTGAGCCGAAACTTGTCGGAACCTCTTCGGTCAAGAGCTCAGCAACAACTCAAGCTCATTCTGCAGTTCCGGAACTCAGAATTTCCACTTGCCAATGTACCTGTGCGATTATTTGTTCTTGACGATGAGATGGAATTACAAATGAGGTCTTGGCTGAAAGGCTTTATCGTACAGTCTTGTGCATCGTTTTTATTTTGAACTCAAACGTGCAGCTTGTGCATACGCTTTTTCTTTAATGTTAGGATTTACGATTTATAGAACACGGTTTAACTTTTTGCTTTTCACATCACTTGTCATCGTCATCAGGTTCTTTTAGGCCAGGTATTCATTCTCTTAGGCAGGCTCTTTAGGTCAGTTTTCTTAGGTAAAAACTAGGTGGTTTGCGGTTTTGCCCCATTTCGGGGCTAATGTGTGTGTGTGTACACCGTTATAACAAACGGTTTTAGTTCTTGTCATCGATCTTGTATTATTCAAAAAAAGCAGGGGGCAGAGATACCTATGTCACTTTCTCTGCCAACGAAGCTGGGTGACATGTGGTAAGGATATAGATCAGGGACGCCTGATCTACGTACCTGCTATAGTTTCAACTGTTGACTTTCTGTTCTTGTTTATGAGCTGTGCGTTGTTTCTTCGATCGTGAATCTGTGTCCGCTGAAATTCTACTGCCAGGCAACTCAGGAAATCAGGCGAAGACTATGACATCATTCACACTTTTTACTGGCCATTACCCCACAGTGTGTGTGTGTGTTATATTTCTTCTTTTCTTCTAATGCATATATATATATACACATATTTATGATTATTTTGTTGTTCTCGAATTTGCAACATCATGAAAAGGATAGGTATACTGCTTGGGAAACTGTTTGCAAATGCTTTTCATCCACGTGTGCACTCGGACTTGTTCGTCTTGGGGGATCATGATCGTGCTGACGTCTAAGATGACGGAATTGCCGCGGGTGAGTGTATGTCCTTGTTCTGCATAGCAAACATTAAATTTTGTGAAGGTTATCGCCTTTGTCACTCAGTCTTGGTGCAGATTTGCACGAAGAACCAAGGAAGGAATCTTTTGATTTCATTTTGAGTAGATTGCCACCACCTGTAAATCAAAAACCAGGTTTTATTACTTTTATGTGGTGTGTGTGTGTGCGTGTGTGTGTGCACCTGTTTTACCCCAACAATACCCGAGGTCGGATGGTGCTCAGATCATTGCTGTTGAAACACCAGAGGTGTGGAGCTTTCCGACTCATCACCGTGCCGTTGATTGGAACATTTGAGACCTCAGCCTGAAGAAGAACCCTTTTTCTACCTTGATCTTTGCTTGTGGTGCCTGGCTTCCAGACCAACGCGCTGTCAGCTCTGGCTGTATTTCCTGCTTCAGGAAGTTTCAACCTTAGCAGCGAACCACAGGAATGCTTGGTCCTCAGACAATTTTGTATCTTGGCATGTCTGATAGATCGAGAGATCGACGTTGACGCCTCAATGAGTTGATATTTTCTTTCCACATACTTACAAGTTACTTGACCACATATTTGGTGACTTTTTAGGCACCAGTGCACAATGTCCTGGAGGTTGGACAAGTGCAGGAATCAAAGAGCTGGAAACAGATTTATTGGAGGTTGCAAACGCTAGTTTCTCAAACGCTAGTTTCGCAAATGTTTCTCATGTGAGTGACATTCAAGTGTGGGTAGAGCTCATTTATGCCACTTTGAGGTTTGCATAGAGTGAGTTGTCATTGCCTGATCACCAGACAGGAGAACGCAGTGCCCTGGGCCCAGCCCCGGTTGTCTGTGCAGGCTGTGCTTGGGGCATGTTTTGGACTGGACAGGTGTGTCAGGTCCATTTGGAAAAGGAAAATTACCAGCAGGCTGCTGGCATCGAAACCATTTCAAGAACAGTGCTCTTTTGTTTGATTTGTTTGGCAGATCTGGATGCTAAATGATGCTAGATGATGCTAGGAGATATCTTCATCCTAGTGTCGCAAATGTATGTCAATAGGGGACCCATTTCAGGTTAGCCACCGCTGCGATCATACCCACTTGTACTCGTTTCCTGAACGGATAGGATCGTCAGCTGTGTCACCTAAAGGAACCAGTTCTTTCATTCGTTCCGTCCCGAAGATCTCACATGTCTCTTGAGAGCTAAGATCTCTTGCTTTCAGACGCATTCTCACACTTTGACGTTTTCGGACCATGGATTTCCTGGGTGCTCAGTCTTCAAGACCACCTCTTAGAAGCCGAGTCAATGTATGGGGGCTCAGTCGCCGCTCCAGGCGTCATGAGTTGGAAACCTGCAGCAGTGATTCCGTAATTGGCGGCAACAATGCAGACTTCAAACAGAAGGGCCTGAGTGAACTTGACGCATGTTTGAGGTGTAGGATGGCAACCTACAGCAGTATTACAGCACACTTGGAGCACTCGAAGGGTGCAGAATGGCAACCTACAGCAGTACTAGAGCACACTTGAAACATTTGAGGCTTGTAGGTTGGCAGCCTACAGCAGTACTAGAGTACACGTGAAACATTTGAGGCTTGTAGGTTGGCAGCCTACAGCAGTATTACAGCACGCTTGGAGCATTTGAAGGGTGCAGAATGGCAACCTACAGCGGTACTAGAGCACACTTGAACCATTTGAGGCTTGTAGGTTGGCAGCCTACAGCAGTACTAGAGCACACGTGAAACATTTGAGGCTTGTAGGTTGGCAGCCTACAGCAGTACTAGAGCACACTTGAAACATTTGAGGCTTGTAGGTTGGCAGCCTACAGCAGTACTAGAGCACACGTGAAACATTTGAGGCTTGTAGGTTGGCAGCCTACAGCAGTACTAGAGCACACTTGAAACATTTGAGGCTTGTAGGTTGGCAGCCTACAGCAGTATTACAGCACGGTTGGAGCATTTGAAGGGTGCAGAATGGCAACCTACAGCAGTACTAGAGCACACTTGAAACATTTGAGGCTTGTAGGTTGGCAGCCTACAGCAGTACTAGAGCACACTTGAAACATTTGAGGCTTGTAGGATGGGAGCCTACAGCAGTATTACAGCACACTTGGAGCATTTGAGGCTTGTAGGTTGGCAGCCTACAGCAGTACTAGAGCACACTTGAAACATTTGAGGCTTGTAGGTTGGCAGCCTACAGCAGTACTAGAGCACACTTGAAACATTTGAGGCTTGTAGGATGGAAACCTACAGCAGTATTACAGCACGCTTGGAGCATTTGAAGGGTGCAGAATGGCAACCTACAGCAGTACTAGAGCACACTTGAAACATTTGAGGCTTGTAGGTTGGCAGCCTACAGCAGTACTAGAGCACACTTGAAACATTTGAGGCTTGTAGGATGGCAGCCTACAGCAGTACTAGAGCACACTTGGAGCATTTGAAGGGTGCAGAATTGCAACCTACAGCAGTACTAGAGCACACTTGAAACATTTGAGGCTTGTAGGATGGAAACCTACAGCAGTATTACAGCACGCTTGGAGCATTTGAAGGGTGCAGAATGGCAACCTACAGCAGTACTAGAGCACACTTGAAACATTTGAGGCTTGTAGGATGGGAACCTACAGCAGTATTACAGCACACTTGGAGCATTTGAAGGGTGCAGAATGGCAACCTACGGCAGTACTAGAGCACACTTGAAACATTTGAGGCTTGTAGGTTGGCAGCCTACAGCAGTACTAGAGCACACTTGAAACATTTGAGGCTTGTAGGATGGGAACCTACAGCATTATTACAGGGCACTTGGAGCATTTGAAGTGTGCAGAATGGCAACCTACAGCAGTACTAGAGCACACTTGAAGCATTTGAGGCTTGTAGGTTGGCAGCCTACAGCAGTACTAGAGCACACTTGAAACATTTGAGGCTTGTAGGTTGGCAGCCTACAGCAGTACTTCAGAACCTTTGGAGCATTTGAAGTGTGTAGGTTGGCAACCTACAGCAGTACTAGAGCACACTTGAAACATTTGAGGCTTGCAGGATGGGAACCTACAGCAGTATTACAGCACACTTGGAGCATTTGAAGGGTGCAGAATGGCAACCTACAGCAGTACTAGAGCACACTTGAAACATTTGAGGCTTGTAGGTTGGCAGCCTACAGCAGTACTAGAGCACACTTGAAACATTTGAGGCTTGTAGGATGGGAGCCTACAGCAGTATTACAGCACACTTGGAGCATTTGAGGCTTGTAGGTTGGCAGCCTACAGCAGTACTAGAGCACACTTGAAACATTTGAGGCTTGTAGGTTGGCAGCCTACAGCAGTACTAGAGCACACTTGGAGCATTTGAAGGGTGCAGAATTGCAACCTACAGCAGTACTAGAGCACACTTGAAACATTTGAGGCTTGTAGGATGGGAACCTACAGCAGTATTACAGCACACTTGGAGCATTTGAAGGGTGCAGAATGGCAACCTACAGCAGTACTAGAGCACACTTGAAACATTTGAGGCTTGTAGGTTGGCAGCCTACAGCAGTACTAGAGCACACTTGAAACATTTGAGGCTTGTAGGTTGGCAGCCTACAGCAGTACTAGAGCACACGTGAAACATTTGAGGCTTGTAGGTTGGCAGCCTACAGCAGTACTAGAGCACACTTGAAACATTTGAGGCTTGTAGGTTGGCAGCCTACAGCAGTATTACAGCACGGTTGGAGCATTTGAAGGGTGCAGAATGGCAACCTACAGCAGTACTAGAGCACACTTGAAACATTTGAGGCTTGTAGGTTGGCAGCCTACAGCAGTACTTCAGCACCCTCGGAGCATTTGAAGTGTGTAGGTTGGCAACCTACAGCAGTACTAGAGCACACTTGAAGCATTGTAGGTCTGTAGGTTGGCAACCGGTTGGCAACCTACAGCAGTGATAGAGCACACTTGAAGCATTTTAGGTCTGTAGGTTGGGAACCTACAGCAGTCCTACAGCACACCTGAAGGATTTTAGGTCTGTAGGTTGGCAACCTACAGCAGTGACACAGCACGATACAGCACACTTGAAGCATTTTAGGGTCTGGGAGTGGTGCATCATTTTTTGTTGAGCCCAAAAACGGAACGGAAAAGGAAGGCTGGAACCTTGGAACCTTGAAACCTGCTATTGGGTTGCAAGGCCGAATTAATTTTGGTAACCAACAGCAGTATTACAGCGGATGAAACATTTTTAGGGTGTAGGTTGCCAACCTACAGCAGTATTACAACAGTGAGAGGCAACAATGTAGGCTTCAAAAAGCAGGACAACCCACAGCAGTATTACTGTGTGACCAACGTTTTTGGGGTATATTTCCACAAGCAGCCAGGCTGGGGCAACTTGAGGCATGTTGAGTGCGTATTTTGGTACCTTAGACGAGCACTGTTGCAGCGCTTGAAACATTGTTGGCGTGTAGGTTGGCAACCTACGCCAGTTTTTCTTTTTTTTTTACCGGCGGTTAGAGGCAAAACAGAAGGCTTCGAACAGACGGGCCAGAGCCAACTTGAGGCATGCTAAGGGTGTAGGTTCGCAGCCTACAGCAATATTGAAGCAGTTCGAGTCAACCATGCTTCAAACACTCGTCTAGAGTCAAGTTAAGACATTATTTTGGGTGTAGATTGGCAACTTACAGCAGTATTACAGCAGTTGGAAGCAACAATGCTTCAAACAGAACAGCAGGTCTGGGGCCCTTAAGGCATGTTGGGTGTGTATTTTGGTAACTTACAGCAGTATTACATCATTTGAGACATGTTTGGGTTGTAGGTTGGCAACCTGCAGGAGCATTACTGCAGTGAGAGGCAACATCATGGTTGGGGTGTAGGTTGGCAACATATTACAGCACTTGACTTGAAACACTTTGGGGTGTAGGCAACCTACAGTACTACACCAGTCAGCAGTACTACACCAGTGAGAAGCAACAACGTAGGGTTCATGTGTATTTGGGGTAACCTACAGCAGTTGTAGGTTGGCAACCTACATCCGTATTACAGCAGTTAGAGGCAAAGAACTAGGCTTCAAACGGCAGGGCCAAAGCCAACTTGAGACATTTTAAGGGTGCAGGTTGGGAACCTACAGGAATATTACAGCAGTTAAATTTTAAAGGCTACAATGTAGGTTTTAAACTGTAGGATCAGGGCCAAGGCCTGGTAGCAGCCAGACAGATGTATGATCTCCGTGGAAAAGGTTTTCGCCCTACTGACCTCGCGTAACATGCTCGTACGCATCTTTGTCCAAAAGAGGTCTTGTGGAGCAACAAATTTTGCAGTTTTCCAGCAACAACAACACCCACATCATATCACATCATATCATATCGGATTGTCATCATCATGATGATTGTGTTTGTGATTGTGATGGTGGTCATGATGACGATGATGTGGTAGAGTACTATGATTGTCAGTCCACCTGACTACTAGTGCAGAGAAAACTGTCATCAGAACATCACAAGAACTCACAGTGGCACAGCTGTGCCAGCCAGTGAACAAGAAAAGGGTCACCAGGTTTTAGCACAAGCAAAACAATGTACGAGTGTGATGGCAACTGTGATCTGCATCAACATTTACATACGCATGTATGCATGCATGCTATATATATAATATCGGTCTATATATAACACATGTATATGATGTGTAAGTGTGACTGATTGGCAGAGGATGTATTATATACCCTGATGGGTACATGGGTACGGGCTAATGGTGTAAGAGCCCGGTCAGCATCGCCAGACAGAGGTACTTTATCTATATGCATGTATCCTGCATGCTGATTTGTGTGGATCTGAACAAGGGGCCGGAAGTATCTCAGAGAACCGTGTGCCCATGTGGCGTGTGGGTGTCTCCTTTCCACCCGCGGGACATGCCCGTTGAGGGTGAATCTTGGATTGTGGGTCGTATGCAGTGCAGTCCTCAAAGAGTAGTGTCGAGTAGAGCGTATGTGAGGGTGAGAGTCCCAGGGCTGGGGGAACAGGAAAAAGGTATGTACCTCTTTTGAGTATGCTGGAAAAGGCTAGTGATTTGTTCCACTGGATCCACTCCAGGTGTGGGGTGAAATCCATATCTCTGAAAAGTTGTTCCCACGCTGTTTGCCTTTTTGGGGAGAAGATGGAGAAGGACTTGGTTTTCCGTTTTGTCCGTTTTGTCGGGTTCAGGAATGATGTACTCTCAAAACAAGACCGCACAATGTGGCGCCGTCTGCGTTTCTGATGCCACAGATGCCAATTACTAAGGTCGCTGTCCGTGCTTGGCTAGGTCTGCCCGTGCCTGCGCAACAAGATGCTTGGCTGAAATTAGTTAGCCAGTGTTTTGGGGCCTCTCAGCTGCATGATGCCTCAGAGTGGGTAATGCGGATTCGGTGTGGTTGCAACTTGCAACAAAAGGGTTCGGCAGTATTTTGTGAGCCAGGGTTGATTCCTCCTGTAATGATACTTCCTGTCTCTTTTAACCAATTCATCGATGCATGACAGGGTGAAGGAAACTGTTTTCTCATCAATGTTGCAATCTTTTTGGCATTTTGGAATGCCCATCCAAGAAGGGTTAGAACGGCCAGCAAGGAGCTGGACTTGCGCAGACTTCAAGCGGAGGAGAGGGAAGAAATTGCACCGACGCAGATAAAGGGGCACATTAGGCGGTCCCTCGCACAACGTGGACTTGGTCCCGGTCCCTGCATCATGAGGTTTGGGTGAAGAAGGTGGTTTCATGGCTTAGCCCTGGCTTAGCAGATCTAAAGTAGGAGTTTTGATTTAGAGTAGGAGTAGTTTTGCATACCAGTAAAGATCAGTAAGGTACATGAACATGTCAAAGAATCTGATTCTCATAGCGCTACACCTAGTTCATGCAAAACATGACGTTGACACGTTTGTTTTGAACCAAAAACGGTAGATCTCAAGACGATGGAACATACTGGTACTGTATATCACGAAAGGTAGCATCAGCTACCTAAGTCTTTTTCGAGCTTTAGCACATTTTCATTTTTTGGGCAGAGGAGGGCACAAGAGTGACCTTTTTCGACTATGAAAGGGATTCGTCACTTTGGGTGATGTTGTTCAAAACGATTGTGGTTTCAATTTCTGGTCTGAACATGTGCTTCGCTGCTACCATTTGCTAGAGGTTCCAAGAAGTTGTTGCATGGAACTTACTGCTATTTTTTGGCACTGCATGGCTTCCATCTTGGGGGCATGATATATTTTGTATACATCATCCTGCATCCTCATGCTCAAAATTTTGGTCATCGTCCCAACGATACTGTTGCCCATGTCATCACCATCACAATCATTATCATCATCACGGTCATCGTTATCAGCATCGCCTGTTTCAATTCTCGGTCTGAGCATGCGCTTTGTTTCTACCAGTTGCTAGTCTCCAAGAAGTTGCTTTTCTGATAATTTTTGGCGCTGCATGGCTTCCATTTAGGGGCATTATTTTGTATACACCATCCTGCATCCTCCTCCTCCTCCTCCTCCTGTCGCCTGCCACATCCTTCCGCATCCTCATCCTCATTCTCATACTTTTGGTCATCGTCCCAATGATATTGTTGCCCTGGTCATCACCATGTCATCACCATGTCATCACCATATCATCACCATGTCATCACCATGTCATCACCATGTCATCACCATGTCATCACCATGTCATCACCATGTCATCACCATGTCATCACCATGTCATCACCATCCTCACCACCAGCCCACCAGCAGCACCAGCAGCACCAGCAGCACCAGCAGCACCAGCAGCACCAGCAGCACCAGCAGCACCAGCAGCACCAGCAGCACCAGCAGCACCAGCATGGTCATCATCACCATCACCATCATCACCATCATCACCATCATCATCACCATCATCACCATCATCACCATCATCACCACCACCATCATCGTCATCATCGTCATCATCATCATCATCATCATCGTCATCGTCATCGTCATCGTCATCGTCATCGTCATCGTCATCATCATCATCATCATCATCAACAGCATCATCAGCATCATCACCATCCTCACCATCCTCTCCATCCTCACCATCATCACCATCATCACCATCACCACCATCACCACCATCACCATCACCATCATCACCATCATCACCATCATCACCATCATCACCATCATCACCATCATCACCATCACCACCATCATCACCATCATCACCATCATCACCATCCTCACCATCCTCACCATCCTCACCATCATCACCATCATCACCATCATCACCATCATCACCATCATCACCATCATCACCATCATCACCATCATCACCATCATCACCATCACCACCATCATCACCATCATCACCATCATCACCATCATCACCATCATCACCATCATCACCATCATCACCATCACCATCATCATCATCATCATCATCATAATCATAATCATCATCACCATCCACCATCCACCATCCACCATCCACCATCCATCGTCCATCGTCCATCGTCCATCGTCCATCATGCATCGTCCATCGTCCATCGTCCATCGTCCATCGTCCATCATCCATCATCATCATCATCATCCATCATCCATCATCATCCATCATCATCATCATCATCATCATCATCATCATCATCATCATCATCTTCATCGTCATCGTCATCGTCATCGTCATCATCATCATCATCATCACCACCATCATCAGCATCAGCATCATCAGCATCATCACAATCATCACCATCATCATCATCAACAACATCCTCATCTTCCTCCTCCTCCTCCTCATCCGAATCCTCCTCATCATTATTTATCATCATCAACATCATCATCACCACTGTCCATCATCACCTTCACCATCTCCATCACCATTATCATCAGCAACACCACATCAATTGCATGCCATTAATGTTTCACTTGCGCTCCAGAAAAATGTGATGGGCCGATCCTGGCATGAACCAACCAAAACAACAATTGATGTTCCTGGTTCTGAATTCATTCCAAACCTGCAATTTGATCTGAGGAATTCTTGCTTTGATTTTAGGCGGTTTGCAAAGCTGTTGTTTTAGACTTCACAGAGATCCATATGCTTTCAAGTTTGTCATCAGACTTTCAATGTGGCATACCTCAAACTTTTCGTTTCCAAACATATTGGTTGAATGCCGCTTCATCCGAAACCATTTGTTTAACATATTGCGCTTTATTCTCGAGATTGCAGACCTGCCAAAAAGATATTCCTTTGGCTTTGGATAATAGGAGTTTGGCATCACCTTCGGTGTTCCAACGGGCGATGCAGCAATCATTAAGGCTGGAACGGTTGAGTTGGGATCGGGTTAGGAGTGGTGGCACTGCTCTGAAATTTCGATCCATGCTTAATTTTTTGTGACATTTGAAGAAACAGCAGCGATATATCTCTTCATGTGGAAAACCAACGACATCCAGGATCTTACAGGTAGCTGTCCTGGATTGACTTGCTCAAGCCAAATCCGCTGACACCAACCGCTGTTTCTGCTCCCACTTCACCTCTCGTGCCCGAGCCTTGACCAAGATTTCCGGGAAGGGCAAGAATCATTGGTGCGAAGGCACAGCAGGTATTTCATGACTTCGGGTATGGTGAGGACGTCATTTTTGACTCATGGAAAACTTTCAGGCCCGAGTCAGATGACTTTCCCTGTTTATGACTGGGCCGAGATCATCGAAATCTTTATCTCCTTCAAGTGATCCAAGACCGAGGCCTCGTCGCCTCGTCATGTTCGACTTCAGCTGCGCATCTGCCTGCAATCCTCCCAACCCTGGAGCCAACACGGTGAAGGCCATAGGGACATTACATATCTTTGAAGCTAGTGAAAGAATTCATAGGGGTAGGGCCGTCTTCCAGCAAGAAAAGAGTACGTTACATCAAACCATATCAAACCACTCGGTTCATATGAGGCATGACAGTTTTTGTCAGTTTTTGTCTTTGGCGGTATGCCAGGTGAACATGGAGGACATTGCGAAGCGCAATGCTGAGGCAGCACTTCCAGCTTTTGTGGGTGACAGTCCATTTCCTTAGCAATTCAATTGCCAGCGGTGCAGAAAAGTACCTGGATAGCGAAGAAGATTCGATAGAGGTACCGTTATGGTACTTGGGCGAGTGTTTGATATGGTTTGATTCTGGTTTGTTCATGTTGGTTCTATTTCTTGGAAGATGACTAAGGGTATCTAAGGGTTGAAATTTGGGTTTCTATCTTTCTGAGAACGGAGACACTTGACAGCTCACAAGCGCCAGGAAGTTGAGGCCAAGCGCAAGGCGAGATGTCAAGCAGAGATCATAAACCCATAACCCTTAACAGATCTTAACAGATCTTAGCAGATCTTGACAGCAACAAATCTCTTCTCTACTCCTCAACCAACCTGAAGCTATCACCAGTGTACCTGCACGATTCCGAAGGGCATCCAAGGGCATCCAAGCAAAGCATACGCTGAGGGCACAAAGCATACACAGTGCATGATTGCACAGAGTGAATTTGCGAAAACATGCCTGGAGCATGCTTCAATTTAGCATGCTTGTTCAGAGCCCATTCACACAAAAGATTACTGGCACACTAGCACTCGGAGTATTTGTGCATGTTGGCACACGGCATAAATCAAACACACACACACATGATCTTTGGCTACTTTTGCTTTTCATTGACTTTTTGTCTACTTTCTTGTAGTAGAATTTTTGTCACTAATTGTAATTCGGAGGGGCATATTTTTTTTATTTTCCAGTCTGGGGTTGCTGTTGTGGCTTTTCACTTCTGGGCTTCCGGGCTTTTGTGTTGATTTGTCTCTTGGCTGATTTGAACTCCAAGATGCTGCAAATACCGTGTAAATAAAAGACTTCAGATACAAAGTGTGGCTCCAAAATGCAGCGAATACGCTGCAAAAGATTCAAGGTCCAAAATGCTGCACATGCCTTCCAAATTAGGGATTTTAGTTCCCAAATGCAGGAAAATAGCAAGGAAAACTGCCACAGACCGGAAAATGGAAATCGCGCCCGAATTCTTTGGGTCAAGGAAACTGACTGTAGTAGATTCGGAAAAAAAAACAGCCATGCAACCATATTTGTTTTTGAGGTTTCCCTACACAGACACAAGACAAAGATAGACTCACTGGACCTAGTTTCTGTTGGCTTCCTGCTTTACCCTTGTGTATGGATTCTAGCGCACATTCCTCTCCAAAAAGTATAATTGGTGTCCTGACAAGGAATCTTGCCACTAAACGTTGGGATGGTGTTTTTTTGATGGCTTATCTTAGGTGGGTTGCTCCTTGCTACGGGGTTGTCAGATGATTTCTGCTCGGAGGCTGAGGAGGAGCAGCGTCGCAAAGCAGAAGAAGTGCAAAAGCAGGTCTGGATGCCTAGGTCTCTTTGGCAATAGCTCGGTCGCGGGCAGGGACTGCCTAGACCACGGTGACCACCGGAAACGAGAAAGTTTGTCTAGTCCAAAGAAGCCTTTTTCAAAATATTTCAATTGATAGCAAATCTGGGGTTGGCTGCCTTGCTGCACCAAACTGCCACCCAATGAAGACAAGTAATGTCTCCAAAATATCATGCAAGCAAATTTTTGCCTTCCAGTTCTTCGGTGTAAGTTTGCTTGCGACTAACCATGTTCTGAAGATTTCTGAACCGCTCAATTTCTAACAGGTTGGAGGTATGAGCAATGTATGAGCAATCACTATAGCAATCACCATTTGCCTTTGTTGATACTGGCGCTCTGCGCGGTGCATTGTATTCTGGACCTTGGCGCTCTGCGCGGTGCATTGTATTCTGGACCTTGCAAGGAAGCCGCACGACGTGCTGAGAAGGAGGCCGAAGAACGCAGGCAGAAAGAGCAGGAGGAGCGCAGTTGATGCAAAGCTAAACAAATAGTGGTGAACATGCAAGGGCAGACTTCGCGTGATGTTGAATGCACCTGGATTTCCTTATGTACGCTCAAAATTTGGAATTAATAGAAAAAGGAACTTGCCCAATGTCATTTTACTTGATAAAGCAGGATCCCAATAGCAACTGTTCCAAAGCTTCCGTAAGTGGGGCTGAGGATTGTGACCCATATGGCGCAGATGTCCTTTTGTGTCACCTTTCAGTTGCATTTGAGTTTTCTTTCTCCGAAAAGGATTGGAGCATGCACTCCACATGGCGATGCAAATCGAACCACAGAAACATTGTTTTCGTATGTTTTGGTGTTGTTAAATGCGATTCATTGATGATCTTTCGAAACCATCCTGCTGGAAAGTCACCATGTTTGAATCCCATGTTGCTCTATGCAGGAGGTGAAACGTTTGGCCGACCAAGAAAAGGCCAAGGACTGACCGAGAAGTCACCGCATGTTCCCATTCTTCCGACAGGGCAGAAGGGCTTCTCTTTAGACTCTAGACATCAATGTTTGAAAGCGCTCACTTCCAATTTCCTGAAATCTTTTTGAAACCTCGTTTGGCCTGTTGTGGTGCATGTTTCTGCAGAGAAGGGCAGCCAGCTAAGCTGTGCCTTTAATGTGTATGAGTACCTCTGTGTCAATCCCCTAAGGTGGCAGTGCATCAAACATGATCAACCCATCGAGAATATTGTAGAATATCAAACCATCCATTTTCTGAGGCAACCAACGTTGAACCATAGCCAGCGAAGGAAGCAGCTGCAGCTGCCGCGGCCGCTGAAGCCGCAGATATTGAGAAGAAGCGCCTGGATGAGGCCGGATGGTGTGGGAGTCTGGGAGTTTGTTTTGAAAACACATTTCCAATGTAACCCTCAATGCACCCGCTTTTGCAGGTTACTTGCAAAAATATGTTGCTCTAAACATGTTTTATCACGAAAGCTAGCTGTGCCAGCTGAAGTTGCTCTTGCTTTAGCAAGGAATGGGCAGAGTTAGTCCCCCCCCCCCCTGGCAGGCCCAGATTCGATCCCCCCCTGGTTCCCCCCGAGCCCCCCCCCTGTCCGAGCCCCCCCCCGAGAGGAGATTTCCGGCTGGTAGAGGGTCATCATCCTCATCCTCATCCTCCCCATCATTCGCAGCATCCACATCATCATCAACAACATCATCATCCTCATCATCATTATCATCATCATACATATGTTGTATTGTCTTGAACATCTTTATGCAGATTCGGGCTTCCATTTAGGGGGCGTATTTTTTTTGATATTGCGTTTCTTTTGCTTACAACACTTGGCGAGAGACGATTACTGCATTGGGGTGTTTTCGCTTGCTGGACCCAATAGATTTTGCAACCCTACAACAGCCCTGCTCATCATAATCATATATCCCATTTTCATCTTCATTCTCATCCTCAGCATCCTCATCATCTTCATCATCCCCATCATCCTCATCATCCTCATCATCCTCTTCGTCCTCATCATCGTCGTCGTCAACTCATTCCTGTTACCATCTCTTTCGTCATCATCAGTTTCCTTTATCGTTCTGGTCAGCAACCTCATCAACATCAAATTATTGGCACTGTTTGTGACTTGCAGCAACTCCAAAAAAACGCGTGAAACCGGTGCCGCATTCCGACTTCACCTTGCTAATCCCCCTTTACGATTACCACCCTACCCCAGCCCTGCTAGCTTTCGTACCTCCCCACTGGCCTCAAGTATGTTTTACATTGCGTGTCCCTGGCATACAAGCATCGGCCACTGTCTGAATGCTGTGGCTGTTCATCAATTGTCCACGATAGGTGGCTACAGGTGGATAGGTGGCCATATGGATGGGCATGCCTTGAATGGTTCAGGAAGCGGCTGTGCGAAAGAATGAGACAATGGCATGGCTCAAGAAGCAAGGCCGGCATCGGAAGCAGATGAAACTGCTATCAGATGAAAGATTTTTCAAACATAGTGTCCGAGATGTTTCCAGTGTGCTTTTGACAGAGGGCGTAAGGAACAGCTTCACAGGGATGATGCGGATGATGTAGCTGTGAAGACCGTGATGAAAACGGCAGTGAGAATGCGTACCGTGAGGACAACAAGCAACGTTGAAGGGCTTCTGTTTGATTCTGATGAGACTTCCTTGTCCGAGGTTTTGCGGGTGTAAACAAGCCGAAGAAGTCATTCTTCAGTGGCACTACCTACGCCTTACACAAAGCCGCAGAGACAGGCAACGCCAAGATTGTTCACTGCTCAGATGGTTGCATGAATGAACCGTGTCATTGCTGCTTGCAATTTGAAGCTGATGGGTACCTTGAACCATAACACGGGGGGAACATACCACTGGGGGGTAGCGAATCGGGGGCCGGGATCATACATATATATATATATAAATAACCAATTATAATATCACCACCCTTTTCGAGGGGTGTAAACAAGGGGGGCGTTCAAAAGATGCAAGCAACAATTTTGACCCCTGCGTATTTTTTCCCGATGGGGAAGGCTATATGTATCTTAGACCCCTCCTACGTCAAAAACCGTGCCCCGGAAGATTTACATTTAGGGAGGGGGGGTGAAAGTCCGTAAGAGATAGGTCACCCCGTACCCCCCTCCGAACCCCACCCCCCGGTACTACGGATAGGGGGGGATGGGGGGAGGTAAAAATTAATAAATGTCCGCAAACAGTTTGTAAACTGTTTGTGAGGTGTCTTTGCACGACCTGCCATAAAGAGACATCATGTTTTCTTTGACCTTTTCAGAGTAAAATGGATTCACCTGAAAACCATCATCATTCGAAGCCCCATGAACACCGCTATCATCCAAAGCCCCAGGTGATCGCCCAAACGGCACCGATCGCGATCTTTCCATGAGACCCCACAAAGCGAAAACACGCAGGGCTAAGGAAGGGGGGTCATTTCTCAACGCGAATCTTGGTGTTTGAAAATGACCGTTTCTTGGTGTTGGAAAATGACCGGCATCCCTCAGGTGTTGGAAAATGACCGGCATCCCTCAGGGCTAAAGGGTTGGGCTCATAACCCTCGTGAACCCTGGGCAAACAACCCTTTCTTTTGTACCAAAAATGCCTTCAAGTATATACGAATGGTGTCTGATTGCACGGACCAGTAATTTGCAAGGAATAATATACCTTCTATACCTTTATGTTACATGTGGAAATTATATAAAATGTAGAAAAAGTGTAGAATGTATTGGAAATACCAGTCAATTGGGGGCCTACACACTTCCAGTTTGCATTTTTGATTTTTGCAATTCTGCAGCTATTTGCAGACCTTCACACTATTTTTTTTCCTCATTTTCTTACTTTTTTCCAAAAATGCAATGGACAATATTGAACGCCCCCCTGCATTTTTAAAGAAAATAAATGAAATCCCGTAAAGAATGAGGGGACCTACTAAAATGAAATCTTGCAAATAAGACGCAGTTAAAAAAATAAATGCTTGCCAACATTTAACAGGACCACCTCCCTCAAAAACGTCTAAATTGTGTCTTGCAATTTGGGTACGCCCCCCTCCTTAAAAGGGTAGTGTTATGACTACCAACCCTGCTAACCACTGAGGACACTGAAAATAATTATTTCTGCGAGGAAGGGTGTGAAGAATCTGTAAGAAGAAAGTGTAAGAAAACTGTAAGTTTTTTTGTTTTAGTTTAGACCGTGTGAGTGAATGTGTGAGATTGGAATCATTTATTTTGTGCTATCATGTTGCATGATTAAACGGATATATGTATGTTTAAATGTAAATATAAATATATATAATATACATGTATGTACATCATGAAAAAATCGGACATTGAACAATTCAAATGGCCATATCCTGCGATGATGACGCAATGCAGCACATACCAGGCGCCAAAAAACACCCATAGAAATCTGAAGACAGGATTGCTCGCAGAGTTTCTCGCGCAAATCTGACAGATTTTCTCACATGTCCCGTCCTCCCCCACAGATCCGTTCACAGATTTCTCACAGATCTTCTCACAGGTCCCTTTGTACCTCACAGATTTCTCACAGATTTTGATCACAGATTTCTCACAGATTTTGCACAGATTTCTCACAGATTTCTTACAGATTTCTCACAGATTTCTTACAGGTTTCTCACAGATTTCTCACAGGCTTCTCACAGATTTCTTCCTACCCATGGCCGAAGGAAATCTGTGAGAAATCTGTGGTTTAGCTTGTGTTTTTGAATTTTTGGTGGATGATTCAAGCAACTGGGCTTCCTTGTTAATGACCTAAAACTGCGATTTTACCTGGTAAATTACAGATTTCTCACAGATTTCTGACAGGTTTCTCACAAACTTCTCACAGTTTTCTTCCTACCCATGGCTGAAGGAAATCTGTGAGAAATCTGTGATTTAGCTTGTGTTTTTGAATTTTTGGTGGATGATTCAAGCAACTGGGCTTTCTTGTTAGTGACCTAAAATTGCGATTTTACCTGGTAAATTACAGATTTCTCACAGATTTCTGCCAGACTTCTCACAGCTGTCTTCCTACCCATGGCTGAAGGAAATCTGTGAGAAATCTGTGATTTAGCTTGTGTTTTTGAATTTTTGGTGGATGATTCAAGCAACTGGGCTTTCTTGTTAGTGACCTAAAATTGCGATTTTACCTGGTAAATTACAGATTTCTCACAGATTTCTGCCAGACTTTTCACAGCTTTCTTCCTACCCATGGCTGAAGGAAATCTGTGAGAAATCTGTGATTTAGCTTGTGTTTTTGAATTTTTGGTGGATGATTCAAGCAACTGGGCTTTCTTGTTAGTGACCTAAAATTGCGATTTTACCTGGTAAATTACAGATTTCTCACAGTTTTCTGACAGGTTTCTCACAGACTTCTCACAGCTTTCTTCCTACTCATGGCTAACGGAAATCTGTGAGAAATCTGTGATTTAGCTTGTGTTTTTGATTTTTTGGTGGATGATTCAAGCAACTGGGCTTCCTTGTTAATGACCTAAAACTGCGATGTTACCTGGTAAATTACAGATTTCTCACAGATTTCTGACAAGTTTCTCACAGACTTCTCACAGCTTTCTTCCTACCCATGGCTGAAGGAAATCTGTGAGAAATCTGTGATTTAGCTTGTGTTTTTGAATTTTTGGTGGATGATTCAAGCAACTGGGCTTTCTTGTTAGTGACCTAAAACTGCGATTTTACCTGGTAAATTACAGATTTCTCACAGATTCCTTTCACCACGCAAAGGAAGCTGTCTGTGAGAAAATCTGCAATTTACTAGGTAAAATTGCAATTTTCGGCCACCAGCCACAGAACCCGGCTGCTTCGATGATACACCAAAGTTGAAAAACATTGTGGAAGCTTTCGTGATGTGGGGTGCCAAGGGCTCACGCGCGGAAGCCAAGATAAATCTGTGAGAAATCAGTGAGAAATCTGTGATCAAAATCTGTGAGAAATCTGTGAGGTGTGAGGGGGTCTGTAAGGGGATCTGTGAGCGGAACTGTGAGGTGTGAGGGGGTCTGTGAGGGGATCTGTGAGTGGAACTGTGGGGTGTGAGGGGGTCTGTGAGGGAATTGTGAAAGTATTTGTGATAAGTGTGAACGAGATGTGGGGCGTAAAGGAAATGTGAGGAGAAATGAAGTGAGGAAGTACGGGGGTGTCAAGGCAGTGAAAAAATGCGAAGGGAAGCGCGAGTGGACCTGTAAGGGAAAGGTCTGCTACACGCCACACTTTGCTCACATGCACGCACCCAGACTGTAGTACATCTCACAAATTGTTCACATATATAAATGAAGACCCTGATTTTCCCACAGATTTCTCACAGATTTCTCACAGTTTCAGCTTACAGAAAAATCACAGATTGAAAGTCAAAATAATTATTTGGGCCTCTCCAGAGCTTGCCTAGCATCGGTAGTCATAAGGGTAGTGATATTATAATCAATTATATATATATATATTTATATAATTATTCCAAAGCATTGTGTTCAAAGTGACATCCCGAAACGATGACTTGGTCCATCTCTGCAAAAGAACCTGCCTTTAGAAACCGGCTGTCCTCAAGTCTGGTGAGGCTTTGTTGCCCATTCCTAAGGCCTACGATTTTCCGCATTTTTTCCTACAACGCACCGCTGTGATTTGATAACTCTTCCCCTATCCTGAGGTTGGAGGGCTTCTTGAGCAAGGCGCCAACCCTTCGCAGAAGAATTCTGCTGGCAAGACTGCGCAGGAGGTGCCAATCTTCTGAATTCTGTAGAGGGTCAAACCTTAACCGATTGTGGCTTTTATCTAGGTTCCTTGCGGGGTTCATTGTTTATCAACCTTAAAAACATCATGTCCTTATAGAACCTACTGTACTCACAGTCTCTTTACTCATAGAAATGCCAATGCTCATCTAACCTTCATTCCCCCCACCAAGAAGCCTTAGCCATGAACCTGATATCACCCGGAAGGCGAAAGCATTGGTTCTGCACCGACCCAATTCCACAATCACATCGCCATTTTGCAAGCAGCCTTGACAGCTTCAACATAATTTGCTTCTGTTTGTTTCCTCATTTGCAGATCATCCAGCTTTGCGTTCAAGTGCTACGTTCAGACGCAATGCGCGATGAAATTTCCTCGGGCAGCCCAGCGTAACCCTGAGCCTCCTCGAAGCTTGAAAGGTGAAAGAAATAGTGAAGTGGTGTCATCACATTCCATGTCCTAAATGAGATGAAAGGCGGTGAAAGTTGCATGACCTCCGCTACCTGTTTCCTGACACAAAATACCCATGCTGATCACCCACCCCCAAGCCCGACCCTGAAGCTTAGCACCCTGTCCTCCGACTCAGGACACTGCTCACGACTGCATGCGTAAATATCTGTACTAGAAACAATAATTATGCAGATTTAGATATGTCTTTCGGTTTGAGGCATAAACGTGGAGACACACGCAAGGATGCACGCATGCTGATACCGAGAGACCTGCGTCAGGTGGTCATGAAGAAGAAGAAAGCAGACTCTCACAAGGAGGCCCTTTGGATTTCCGCAAGTATGGTGTTTGCCTGAAGATCAGGGCGGATTATACACGACTCGTGACTCAAGACTCTTTTTCCATCCAGAACACTGCATGCACTGGAAACCGAATTCAACAGACAGGGACAGCAAGAACAGGCAGTGTACGAGGCAGATTTTGTTGACTTGACCGTTCCTTGGATTTGGAAAAGCCTTGCCCAGCTGTGACTTGGTTTGGAGGTGCTCGAGCTGCTGGAAACAGCTGGTGCCCGGGCATGAGCTCAATGAGGGAATCAGCGAGCCGGTTGATGGCAGCCAAAACTTGTTGAACACAGTGAGCCCTACAGCAGTTTTAGATACACATCTAGATATTTCTAGCTTCTGTGGTTGTGTTCTTTCGGCGCCGCCGGGGACGCTCAGTGTGTCTTTTGCCAAGGCAGTTTTGGTGGTTTTCCACCGCGATTTGCTGAATTAAGCGCTGACTGCGACATGTCAAAGTACATACTATTCTCTACGAGGGCACCTACTTAAGAATTTGTTCGGCATAGGCATTCTGGCAGCTGGTTTTCTCAATTGTCAGTCAGCATAGCTATGGACCTGAAGTGGTCAGTACAGACATGGCTGAGGAAGGTCATGGACACCGCACGGACGTGTGGTGGACCTCTCTCTCGCTGGTGCCCATGAGCGGCCTAGCGTGTCCCATTTTGCCGGAAGGCCGAAGGGGCAGCCTGGGATCAACATTGATCACAGTGGACCTAATTCATTCTTTTGAACTCTCACTTGGTCCAATGTGCGAGTTCCTATAAGAGCCGACTGGCCTGTGTCCGTGTGCATCTTGCCACGGTCATGGGAACTTAGGCGTAGAGGAGTGGTAACTTTCACTGAGCGAGTACAGATGAGACCTTCGCCAGAACAGCTTGTCAGTTGCCACCGCAATGCACACTTGCAAAAAGAGGCTTGTCCGACAAGTTCCTGCGAGTTTTCAGCCTGCTATTATATTACAAAACACTACAAAATAGATCAAAATAGGGATCAAAATAGTGCCATGAAATCATATGTAGCGCTCCTTCACCCACGGCACTCCCTGGGATCCCTCGCCATGTTCCTCTTCCATCGGTCTTCGTAGAATGCCAGGCGGTGAAGAGGGTAATCATCCTGTCAGTGATTAGCCTGGCGCTTGGTTTTGGACCGTTGAGTCGAACCGGTGCTTGTCTATAGACTGGGGTTTCCGGGTTCCCAACTTTAAACTCAAATCAAATGATGTGAATGGATGACTGGAACAACATTTGAACTTGATTCCCCAAGCTGAACAAAACTTCCGAATTCAAATGGAGCCCAAGCTGAGCCTGAGCCAGTTGTTCAAAGCTTGATAGAAGCGTTCAAGAACAAGCCAAATACGAGGCAGATGCATTGAAATGCGTACCGTGAACTGCCCATACAGGAACTGAAACCAACCTGACCCAGCTTAGCAGAAAACACTTGTAGACTGAGTGTCTTAAAACCAGCATCCCTCGACCCCTGTGTGATTTCACCAGCGAAATTGTTGCATCCTGCTGTTTGATGAGAGGTTGCACCTACTATGTTTGTGCCTTCATCGCAAGACTTTTGCTTGGTCAATATAGCGATCCAGGCAACTGAATGGGCTGAGGATGATGGTGGCAGAAGTACTGTCAGATAAGAAGCATCAGGTGTATATAAAGGATTCAAGACAAATGAATCTTAGCAGATGATGTATCTAAAGGAAGAATGGCATTACTTGGTTTTGTCTTTGCATTAGACCTGTCTGTCAGTGTGCTTTGTAGAAAACTGAGGCAGAGAGGGGGAGAGATTAGAGAGAGAGAGAGAGAGAGCACATTGGAAATAAAATCAAGATAGGAGGCTGGCCGGCCATGCAAGATCATGCCAGCATTATTGCAGTTTGCCATGACTATTTTTTTTTGAGGTTTTCGGGTGTGGATGTCCGATGAGTTCCTCTAGAAAAAAAAACATGAGTCCAACTGCCTGAGGCAACCCGAACTCGCCAGATGAGCTGTGGTCTGGCTGTTCCCAGTTACTGCCTCAGCCTTCTTAGACATCAGCTACACAAGCCTTGCGGGTGGATTCAAGTCTCAGAGGCATTGAAGTTCATGTTTGTGCTGGTACTGTTGTGAAAAGCTGGCAACAAATTGACAGATTTGCCTCGCTCAGAAAACATTTGTACCTAGGGCAGCTATCTATATATTATATGTATGTATAAATCTAAATGAATACACATATAATTATAAATATAAATAAATAAATAAGTACATACATATATACATATATACATGTATACATGTATACATATATACATATATACATATATACATATATACATATATACATGTATACATGTATACATATATACATATATACATATATACATATATACATATATACATATATACATATATACATATATACATATATACATATATACATATATACATATATATTTACACACATATATATATTTACATACATACATATGTATATATATATATACACATACATATATATATATATCTACACATACATACATACATACATACATACATACATACATACATACATACATACATACATACATGTATAACATGAAACGCATTTTGTACATGCAAAATGAATCAACATGAAGAGACTTACCTCTGCACGCCAGACATTGTAATGACGTCAGCATGGTTTCGCAACGATTTCATAGAGCCCCTCGAAAGTTATCATAGGTGCATTTTCAATGGTAAGACTGAGTCTATGCCTGGAAAGGGGGACAACTGTGCCTTCAAAGCCCCTAACACTTTTACCAGAGACGTCTTTGTGTCCACACTTCAAATACTTCAAAGACATCCCAAGTTTCAGGCACAACATTTGTTCGTCCACAAGCGAAAGAGATAACTGGTCACTCGCGGCGCCTTGACAGGCTCATCATTGAGCTTAGCATCCCTGCCTGTGGCTACTATGGAGCGTTGTACACACATAGGCCTGATTGGTCCTGGTGGATCCTGCTGCAAGCTGCAAGTGTGTTCGAAGTTGATCACAGTGGAAAGGGAAGACTCAAGTGGCAGTAGGGCCAGTTGACCGAGTTTTGGCCATTTATAAATATTTGCAAACTCAGAAGTGTTGAATGGTTTTGCATGGTTTTGCATGGTTTTGCATGGTTTTGCATTTGCAGATTAGTGCTCTCCTTGGCACTTCCTGCCTTGGGGGCACCTCAATGTCCTGGCGAGTCTTGCTGTTGTAGAATGGTCTTCGTAGCATCGGATCTTGTGGAAGGGCTGGTCAAATTGGGTCAAGGTTGGGTGTCAAATTCACATGCGGTTCGCTTCGCTTTTATGGTTTCCCTGTTTGAGCAGTGTCTTTGAGAAGATATCAGAAGATTGTGTTTTGCCATGTTCTTCCTGCGTTCTTCCTAATCATTGATCTCGGACTCAACAACACCAAGTCCCCCAAAGTGCAACAAGTACTGCAATGAGTGGATTGATGCGGTGACTCAACCACGACCATGTTTGGCATCGCATGGTGGCTCATTCTCATTGACTTTGTGCAGGACGTTGCTCTTCTTTTTTTGCGGGGCTAACCTGATCTTTGTGGCCGTGAGCCCAGTCGTAACTCCTCGTCTTCGTCCTTTGCTGTGGCAGTCCTTGGTTCTGTCTCAAGGTGGCCTCCGGGATCAACTTCCTTCGCTTTGTGATTCGCATGGGTGGAGGTGCTGAGGCGTTTCTGCCTCAGCGATGCTTCACGGAAGCAACAGATCGATTGTTCGGGAAATGATAGGATGACATTGGGATCCTTATGCTTGGGACCGATGCATTGGACTAGCTGGTATTGTTCCAGACAAGATGGCACATTTTGTTTTTGTTGAGTTCATCCAACATGTTGTGATCGGCATCACTGTGACACCTGAAGCTTTTCAGGTGTGAGTTGGAAGCCTACACTGCTCAGCAGCGGGACTGCGAAATGCTCCACAGCAAGCATCTCATTTCTGGAGTGGTCAAGCGGCCAGTGTTTGGGACCGTCCAGACCGATAGTCTCAGCAAGAATGCCGAAGGCTGTGTCAGTCGGACTTCCTTTTGGAACTGGCCAGATGTTGCCATACTTGGTGCAAGGCAACGGCCCGTTGCGGTTCCTGTTCCTCAGCAGCCTGCTGGTCTTTTGCTCGGCAGTTGAAGTTTTGAGGGATGACGAGTGGGGAAGACCGTTTGCAGCGTCTTGACGCTTTTTGGCGCCTTTCAGCTGTAATCAAAAGCACTGCAAGACTGCCATGCCCATGGTTTGGAAGTAGTTTTCTTTTGAACAATTACTTGCCTAGTTCGAATTGAGGCACTCACATGGTTTAGCTGCCTCTCGTTTGGTGCTGGCAAGGGCCTTTACCAGGCCGGTGCTTGTGGATTGGTAGGTAGCTTGTACTGCTACCAAACGTCACAGCGGTGGACTCAGGAATCGAACTCTGATATTTTTTGTAGATGGGTTTCTCCAGCTTGTCTTTTCAAAAACACCACATACAAACCCACAGGATCCTCAGGTGAGTTTTGCGTTCGACTGCTTGCATGAAAGTGTATGGCTGGCAACGGTCGCCATCTGATAGTGCCTCAGATTCTTTGTTGCACACACGCACACGCATTCATTGGCTTGCGCTTCATTTCAAAAACTTAGTCAAGTCAAAGTCTTCACACGCATCAAAGGATTGCAGAAGTCAGAAGTTTAAATTCGGAATCATTGAATCTTGAAAGCTGACACTCTTGTTTCTTTCCTTTCTGAGAATGTTTTTACTTTTTTGAATGCCTTGTCGTTTTTTTTTTGTTTTTTTCGAAGATGCATGTGGCAGGGCTTGGCGCCCGGCGAAACGCACCCCTACTCGCTTGAGACCTGGTAAAAACCTGACACCACAGCTGCTTTGCCAGAGGCGTTTGACACTGTTTGTCATCCTTGGTTTCACATATTGTTTCACATATTATTTCACATATTGTTTCACATATTGTTTCACATATTATTTCACATATTGTTTCACATATTGTTTAACATATTGCTTCACATATTGTTTCACATGGATCAATAGTTTTCTGAACTATGATCTCCCATGGATCAATAGTTTTTGAGTGGCTAAGGTCTGTGCCCATCATCGGTGAGGTCATTGCCACTCCAGAGGTGATCCGCCACGAAAAACCAGCCCTTCTATGGGAGGTAACTACCAGGTAGTAACGCTAGTAACGGTAGTATTTCAAAATCGGAAGGGATTACTCTGTGGACATTTGTGGATAACATACTTAGTTACTTGAGTGTTTTTGTGAATCTTCCAAACATTTCCAAACCCTAGTCAATCGTGCCTCAGGTCGGTGCGCCGAACACGTTGGGGGTCCCAATGAACAGCAGAGAATTGACAGGTACACATTCAGAGCGCGCAATTCTTGCGAGGTCCCAAATGACAATTTTACAATGTATATATATATATATTATAATATTATACAGAATATTGTAAAATTATATATGACATTATACATGTATATATATAGATACATGACATTGAATAGATCTATATAGTTATATAAGTATATTGGACTTTATATGATTATATATATATATATGTATACACGTCACTACATTATGTCCAGATTTTGATATTGCTTTACATCATGTGATTCACGTCTGCATCACATCCGATGTATGTACTTGTATTTTGTATCGTTGTATCTGTTTTACGTCCGTTACATCTACATCACTTAATCTAGACTCTAGACTACATGGTCTATACTATATACTATATTATCAATATGTAATAGATCTAGATTAGATCTATATTGTCTCTATATCACATCTATATCATGTATGTATTTTATATGCATGGAAATATCAGGGTTTATGCTCTCTTTCATCCGCATCCTCGAGCTTGTGGCTCTGGCCGCTGTGGCTGTTTGCCCGTTTTGAGCTATGGTGGCCGTGAAACGGCAGCTCAAAGCCGTGAGGCACCAGCGGGAATCCAGTCTTGCTGACGACTGAGATTATTTTCAAATATTGGCAATGTTTCAATTTTGCCCCTCATGATTGCTCTTTGCTGTAGTTTTTACTTTTCTTTGTCCTGAGCAAACAGTGTCATCCCTTTTTCACTGTTTAAGAGAATATTTGGAGGCAGGAGCCCAAATGTGGCCCATTTTGAAGGTGTATTTCATGCGAAGACTCTGCCAAACATTTCTTTGTTTTTTCCTGTGAAGCATCAGTAGCCACTTTTCTTGGAAGAAACAACATCAGCCTTGGCTGTGGCAGGTGGCTCTTCTTGGGTCTTTTAGCACTGCGATGGATGCAATTGACCTTTTTGGTACCAGGACAGGCCCAGGGTCGAGACTTGCAATCCATAGGACACTGCATGAGTCCACCTCAGCTTCTTTCGTGAATAAAGTAAATCTAATTTAGTATAAGGTACTTTTAATGATCTTTCAGAAATCCACCAGTGATATTTGGCTGACGGATACCTGGCGCTGGTCATTCTTTGCTGTTGGGATCAGTGTGGTTGGAGTCGTCCAATTAGGTGCAACTTGTTCGGTGTTTCACACATTCTTATGCCCGCTTTGTGGGTTTTGAAACAGCGCAGATGATGTCACGAAAACATGAGCAGCGGAGCAACCCTTTCAATCGAACATGCGCTCTTTCCCCTAACTTTTTCCCTAAACAGTTTGTCGTCTTCAATTCTTTGTCTGCCCTCTTGTCGGTTGCGGTATCTGGCTCTCGGGAAGTCTCCCTTCCTTTGTCTCTCGCTCCCATCATGTCTCACTCAGCTTCGGTGATGGTGTCCGGCTCTCCACAAATCTTAGTTGCGTTGCTTCCCATTGTTTGTCTCTCATCATGTGTTTACAGTTCGTCATTGTTTCCTATCATTTGTTTCGTATCCCCTCATTTGTTTGCCCAGTCGATTCAATCGTGTCCCATCATTTGTCTCCATTTCCCTTCATTCGCAAATGGTTCGCTTTTGGGATTTTGATTCGTTCTTAAGATACGTCCGCCTTGTGGGTGGATGGTGGTATTCCATTTCAACATATTGTAACCATTTGTTTGCCATCAGTTGTCCATATCATTGGTGGTGTCCCGGTCTCCAGCTTGTTTGCCTTGCCTGTCGTTCAAGGAGGTGGTGTTTGAGTCTGGTTTGTCTCCCAGTACTTGTGTTCCATCATGTGTCTCTAAGGCTTTAAGGTCTCTGGGTTTCTGGGACGCCAACCTGTCTCGAGTTTCTTGTTTAACTTCATGCTTATCGCCTAATATTATCGCTCCCCAAATTAATTATTGAAATTATCTCCATCTATATGTTTCGAGCCCCAATGCCTTTCTACTGCGATTCTTTTGTTTGTTATAATTGAACTTGCGTCGTGTTCTGAACCAATGACACATGGAAACAAATCAACTCTTTGGGGTCCAGCGAAGTGTAATTTGAAGTCAAAGTTTGACTAGCTGACTAGCTGACTAGCTGACTAGTACATTGCGCAATGCATTGAAAACGTCGAACTGCTTAGAACTCCTAGGCCAGCCGAGTGGTAGGAGAGCTATGTCCCTCAGCAGCTTCAGAGACCCTCTTGTTTCTTTTGTTTCTGTTTTTTTTTAATTCCCCAAACAGTGTATCCACACTGAGGGTTATTACGGTAAGTGTTAAAGGCCGAGGTTAGATCAGGGTGCTCCATCTGGCCCCCGGCTTTTTCACCGTAAATTCTCGCACAAAAGTTCCCTTGTGAGATGTCCATGTGCATTTCGACTGTGCGGGCTCGCACAAAGTGTGTGGCTAAGTTTTCTCTCTTTCGAAGGTCTTCTTGTACTGCCTCGTTTTTTGAGCTATGTCCATGTCGTGTGGCAGGGGGCAGGCGTGGAACTTTCCGGACATTTTGAGGTCTGGAACATCGTTTTGCGTGACGGGCGCATGACATCGGACACTTTTTCATCCGCGTTTGCAGGCGCGGGATTTGCTCGACGTTGCCAAAACGTTGGCAGGTGTGGGTCAAAATGAGAGGTGGTTTTGGAGGTCATTTTGCGTGGCAAGCGCATCATGTGGTGAACTTGGACGGCGTTTTGATAGGGTCAAAAGTCTCGTTTGTGAAGCGGTCGTCATTTTTGATTTTGGACATGATGATGAATCCATAGGTGCAGCACTTTGGATGCTTCGGGTGCACTACTTTGCAGACCTCGACAAAAAGTGGCTGAGACCAAAGTAAAACGTCGTTTTTGACTTTTTCAATGTTCATTTCTTGTCGCGCAATGTTTTGTGAAAATTAACATGTGCTCGCGCAACCTCGTGACTTTGTGCGTGTCGGATCGCTATTTTCACATGGCTCGTGCAACCTTCTCGGCACTTTGTGCGTGTCGGATCGCTCTCGTTGTGGCGCAGTGCTCATTTTAGCTGCTTGTTTGAGATCCTCGCAAAGAGATCCTTTGAGTTCGGGCAAGGTCTTTCTCTGACAATCTTGCAAGAGTTTCATGGTTTAGTCTTGGGGGTCCGTGATATGTGATTATCTTGACCAAGGTCTTGTAGACGTCCTTGCGAGAAGATGCGGTGAGGACGCTGATGAGATCCTGTCGGAGGTCCTTGCGTGATTTTGTACAGGTCGTTATGAGAAGATCTTGCGAAGATCCTGCTCACATCCTGAGGTCCTTGCATGATCTTGCACAGGTCCTTATAAGAAGATCTTGTGGAGATCTTGGTGAAGTCCCCTCCAAGAGGTTCTTGCATGATCTTGTGCAGTGTGCAGGTCCTTGTCAGAAGATCTTGTGGAGATCCTGGTAAGATCCTCTAAGAGGTCCTTGCATGAAGATCTTTCAGATGCCATGTATTAGAGGTGCTTCTATGAAAGCTCTTCTGGTATGCTCTTGAGGCGTTCTTGTATCAAGATCTTGTAAGATCCTCCCCAGCAGCAGCAGTTCCTTTTATGAAGATCTTGGTCTTGGCCAAGGTCTTTTTTACACTTGCTTGTGAGAAGATCTTTAAGAGGTCATGGTGGAATCCTCCAGGAGGTTCTTGCATGATCTCATACAGGTCCTTGGGAGAAGATCTTGTGGAGATCCTGTTAAATCCTCCTCAGCAGTTCCTTGCATTAAGATCTTCAAGCTGCTCTACGTCGGTGCTTGCATGCAAGTTCTTCTGGGATGTTCATAGCAAGTTCTTGTATAATGATTGTCTAAGATCCTGTGTAGAAAGTCCTTCTTTGACGATTTTTTTGAAATTCTCTTGGATGTCCTGGTATGAGGTTCTGGTATGAGGTCCTGATGAGTAGACATGGCGTTGCTTCTTGTGCCAAAACAAGTTCCTGCTGCTGCAGTTACGATATATTATAGTGTCTAACCTGATCTGTTTCTGTTCCATAGCTACTGTTGTTTGTATCTGGTACATTGCCTTCCTATATACCCCCAAATTGTTTGGGGTCTCTTGCCGGCGCAATTGTTTTTTTGGGGACTTGGTGGTGCTTGCCACTCTCATTTGAAACAAAATCCACGTTTTGCGGTTTTGCTGCGAGTGGGATGGGCCACTCCAGCGGCCACTGATCTCGATTTCCTCGCCCAGGTTCGGCACTATGGGGCTTAGTTGGTTTGCAGCCACAAAGGCAGCTGAAGCCGAAGAGGACACTACGGAGTTGAAAGTGTTGCGAACTGGGAAAACTCAGTATGCTCAGATGGAGTACCAGGTCTGGGTCGTGGTCACCCGTGGTGGCTGGGTACCCACCCAGAGCATAGTCTGTAAGTGTGGTGGTTCAAACCACTGAAGGGAATTTTTCTCTGGATTGGCATAATTTTTTATGAAATTCCAATGGTAAGAATCTTGACCCGCTTAGCGGGGATTGCCAGTGTCCTCAGCTTTTGAAACCAAAATGTGTCACAATAGTCCTTTGTATTGGTTGTGCTTCGACATTTTGCATGTTTTTGACATTGCAAAATTTCAGATAGATTATGATTTATTCAGATATCCTCAGCCAAGAACAAGGTGCTCCGAGAAGGCAAGTGCCAGGAAGCACAGATGGGAGACTTGGTGAGGTGCAGCTGTAGGTTACTGATGGTGAGGGCACAATTCACGGAAACAAAATTTTAAAACGTATGTCATCAATGTGACATTTTTGCCCTCAACCGAAATCCCTTAGGTGGTTGTAGTAGACAGATGCAGTTTTGGAGCCGAACCACGCCGCAGGGTACGGCATAGAGCGTGGTTTGACGACTTTGAGGAGGGCATGCCCTGGGAGTTGACCATGGTAGGTAGACAGGCGTGGTTGGGAACCCGGGAATGGTAGGTCTGCTAGGGATCTATCGAAACACTTTGCAAACGGGAAGCAGCCCTGCCACATGACAGAGCAGACGGATCCGCCGATCTTCACGTTATTTTTCAATTCCGCAGTTGCTCTGTGTTCAGTTGCCATCAGCAAGTCCAGTTCTGACCTGCTGATCTCAGCCACTCCTTTTCACAGCCTGTCCCAGGAAGTTGGACCTTACCAGACTCCGAAGAGGCTAAAGATCGGCAAGGCTGGATGAATCCTGTGCCCTGGGAATCCGGGAAGGGTTGATGGCTTCACCCAGCAATCTCAAGGGATAGAGAGTTTGGTTGAAAGGTAGCTCTGTACTGGACACAATAGCACCTCCAAGATTGAGAAGATGAAGTGTCAAAAAGGAGATTCGGAAATGAATTGAAGTCAGACAAGGCTGCTTTGCGGCAGGGCGAGTGAGGTGACCGTTTCAAGTCAGACACAGAAGTGCTGGAGTTTATCGACTTTAATGGATGAAAACTGGTCCTTTGCTACAAATAGTTGTATAATTATCAATGAAGAGAAACGACAGTTGGATAAACTATGATCACGTCCATCAGTTAAAATCAACTGGCTGGACATTTTAAAGTCATTTCTTATTGGAGCTGCTTAACCGCCGAGCTGGGTCAGTCAGTTGCCAGACACCCTTGACGCCCTACGATCCTCCCGCCCTCACTGATGCGCTGCTGGGCATGCGCCCTGGGGAGCTGCGTCGTGTGAAAGTGCCACCTGAGTTCCTTGGCTGCGGTGCCATGTGTGCCATGGGTGTCATATGGGTGCCATGGGTGGCGGGTTGGATTTCTAGATGAACCTTTCGATGAAACTTCTATGAAACACAAAGATTTCTTTGTCACTTGCTGTTCATTTTGGACAGCCTTGTTTGTGTTGGACCTGCAGCATTCATGCTGAACGCCTGCTTGAGAATTCATAAATGACCGGGTCCCAATCATCACGAGTCTTTCACACAAGATCTCAGCTGCGTGGGATCAGCTGCGGTTGACGGTCATTTTCCAGCAAGCTTCACGAGGTTTGGCTTTGGTTCAAAGGGCAGGACTAGACCGAGAATGGCAGGGCTCGGCTCAAAATCTCCCCTCAAACATAGTGAAATATTATTGACGTATTCAACCATTGCATGTTATGGCATCTCACACATGCACTTGTTTTGTCTCTTGATGACATTCCTCTGAATCGAGTGGTGCAATGTGTTCTTCAAAGACTCATACATGCATGACCATGCCTTTGCAGCAAGCAGGAGCATCGCAGGTAAACAAGAGGACCAAGTGCGTTCCTCAGAATTCGATGACTCAGAAATTGAACAAGGGGTTGGTGCTTGCACCAGAAGGATGAGATTTAAGAATCCATGAGAGAGTCTGAGAGCGTCAGCGACCATCGTGGCATTGAAAATTATATGAGCAGGTAGAAGTAGAGGCACCTTCTGAAAGCCTGAAAAGATTCTGATTGCAATACATCTCAGAGACTGGGTCACCAGGGCTGGGATGGGACAGCTAAGGATATTCCTGGGAACTCAACGATGCTTGGCGGTGAAGTAGCGCATGTAAAGAGTCGGCGGCTTTTGAAATCCGGTTCTCCGGTTCTGGTTCCATGCTTGTTTTAGCAGTTCGAAGCCTTTGGATTTGTTGTGGTTGGCATGCCGTTCGCGTTTAAGAATTCAGGGAGGTCACAGTCAAAGATCTCTGAAGTTTGCACGTGACGTTTCAACAGGGTGGATTGGATACCAAGCAAAAAAGACGTGGAGCTAGACGGGACATCTCCTGTCTTTCTGACTCCATGTGCAGAATTGTCCCAAGGAAAAGCGTTGAAATCTCGAAGGGTTTGCTCATCCGAGGCTCTACTATGAGATTGACATGGTGTGGTCTGGTCCTGCACAACTCGCTGATTGCATCAAGCCCTTTGAAGACAACGGCAGATACAAGCCATGAGCTGCTGAGCAGATTGCCACGGTTTCCATTCAAAGTTCAAAGCTGATGGAAAATTGTTTGCAAGCATCGACACACATTTCTAGATCTACCCTGCAGATCCCTGAAGCGATGTTTCTACTAAGAAGAGCAAGGTGTATTCAATGAGTGCAATTTTATTCCAACATTTTTTTTGCCACTCAGAGTTTCAAACCTTGGGATCGGGATAGTGTCGTCTATCTTCTTCACTGAAGTGGACGGGGTGAGCTCCTTGACTTAATGGGAAGGGTGGAAACGTGGGCCTTGAAGGACATATTTTCACTGCAAAAGTCTGAAACAAACTAGGGCTACTGGTATATAGTTGATTGCTGTCTACTAAGTTGGGGCAGCACGATTGAGCTTTTGAAAGGAGGATGAAGACAAAGTACACGCAGGAAAAATAAATCGTATTTGGCCCACTTTGGCCGTGTGTTTGTCGCATTTGTCTCTTCATGTTGAAAGAATAGAGCACTTGATACTCCAGCCTGTGACACTGCAAGGCAGCTTTGGATGGTTGGCAAGGAAGGGGGTATAGTCAGGATCAAGGTGAGCACGGGTCTAGGGAAAAGGCATGGTCAAAAATAAAGAATTGCATTCTGGCAACGCTGTGCCTCTGTGGTTTGCGTTGTGGATAAAGGTAGCGGGTATGTGTGTGGGATAAAGGAGTGCTTCGAGTTGTTGTTCATATGGATCTTCAAGTTCAAGTTGTCGCAATCAATTCTGTTTGAAACAGACTTGTGAGTCCCCCACAGTCAAATTTGTTAAAAAATACAAAGGGTATTTGCAAAGAGAGAGGAACTGGGAAGACGCTGTGACAAGCAGCAACTTGCCCGTCACGGTTAGGTTGCAATTTTAGCCACTACTCTGAGTGGCCCAGCTATGTGGCATATTGTGTGGAATGCAAGCAGACATGTGTTCAGTTCTTGCAATAGTGAAGCCAGATTAGCTTATTTCTGTTCATGACTGCATTATGCTTTTCAAGAGGAGAAGCAATCTTGTCAGTGCAAAGACCAAAGAAGCACAGAAAGTTCTTTTCTTTTCGGAATGAGCTGGGAAACACATTCAAACTTCCTTTTTTGGTCCGTCATGATTTGTGCTTTAAGAGTCGATCTCTGCATCTCAGAGTTTTGCCTTCCACATCTTTGCTTAGCCAAGACCCCCGGCGCCCGCGAACCAGAAAAGAAAGGTGCTGCTTGCGCAGACGGACAGGAAGAAGATGCTGTGAAATCTTGTTTGGTCTCCAGATTCGTAGCCTCCTGGCAGGAGGTTCAAATACTTATCAAAGTTATGTAGATCTTCGGACAGCATTTTTTCCCATCTCTTGAGACTTCCTCTGTGGAATGCAGGGAAGAAGGGTAGTCTCCCGGGGTCATTGAGTGAAGATGGGACAAATGGATGAAGTTTGGTGAGACACCAAGGCACCAAAGAGATTCAGATCGGCAAGTGACGCAGATGGTGGGAGACTTGAAAGGGACTGGTTGTACGACATGGCAGTGGTTGGAAGTTGATAGCAGTTTGGTTTTGAAAGCACTTTCATGATTAAAGCTGCAGTTTCTGCACACGTTTCGTATTTTTTTTGGCATCGTGTTCCTGAACAAGATATGCTTGCAATCTGACTGCTAAACCAAGCGGCTATTTCTGTTCTGTTGGAGATGGGGTACAAACAATTGGACGAAGGATCTCTACTTTTCTGTGACTTCAGCAGTGGTACAAGCATGTACAAGCTTTCCTGGCACAATTCACTGAAAACAATTGTGTAGCTCTGCAAGCGGGAGTGAAACAACTGCCACGTGCGGATTGTCTTGCAACGACCAGTGTGCTGCTGTCAGCTTTTAAGCTGTGGCAGGTTGGCAAACCATCCCAGCCCTCTGTCGACCATGGCACGAGGCAGCTCTCCTGTCCACGGAAGCCGCGCGTCAAGCTCGCGCTGCATTGGAGCGGGGAAGCCATTCGTCAAACTCACCTTCGCCGGGAGTCCCATGCGATGTGCATTGGGAGGGGATGGGTTGAAAAAAGCTTCTGTCAAGGACAGGGAACTTCCACATGGATCGGCTTACTCAGATAAAGGATCTATACATTGGAAATGCACTGGGCAGATTACATGATTACTACTTGTGCAAACCACTTTGTCAAATAAGACTTCGCAAAATTGAGTGCGGTTTGTTATTGGGATGGAGAGATTGAGACATCTGCGCAGATTACATGATTACTTCGGGTGCAAACCATTTTGTCAAACTGCTTGTTATTGGGATGGAAAGATTGAGACAACTTTGTCAAATAAGACTTCGCAAAATTGGGTACTGTTTGTTATTGGGATGGAGAGATTGAGACAAAAGTGGAAATCCAACTTATGTCGCGAAAGCGTTTCCACACTGGTCTGCAGCCACGCGAAGCCTTCTGAAGCCCGATGCGTAGACCGTCCTACACTAGATAAACAAATTATTGCAAAGGTTCTTCACGTAGGCGACATTACACTTTAGTGATGTTCGCGCAGGCAAATGCGAAGGCACTTAAGATTTTGACAGACAAAAACGTGCATGGGAAGGCACCCTTCCCAACACAAACTGTCCCGGGCAGGCCAGGTCTAGGCATTGGCAAAGGTGGACGGTTTCCGTTGGGCCTTGCCAACTTATTTTTATTTGCAACGCTCGAAGCAACGAACATGGAAGGACACAAAAGAAAACACACCCAGTTCGAGTTCGGTTAGTTTCACTTCGTTTCCACAATTCACAGAGAGGCGGTTTGGTTTGTGAGTGGGTCCAGTTTGATGCAGTTTGTTTCGGTTCATGTCATTGTCAACTCAACAGTTTGAATACAAGACCACTGTGGTGGAGAGGCTGCGGCAAGACCATTCTTTGGAATTGAACAATTGGCTGATCTCATGGTGTTTGAAGGTGATCTGTAAAGCTGTGCCCATGGGGCCACGGGGGCCTTGCTTCCAAGGCCACCTTTGTCATGATGGCGTGGTGACCTGCACAAGACGGTGTGGACCAGGGCCAACGTGGCATCCACATGCTGAAACCACCTCTCTTGGAGAGCATGTGAAACGTAAAATAGAGAGTAAGATAGGACAAGACAGGTATCAGATGGTATCAGGTATCAACTTGAGTAGTCCCTCATTGGATTGAACCTGCATATGAGTTTCCTGAAACCTGGCTGAAATGGGGCTGACCCACTGCCTGTTATTCAACATGGCTTCCAATAGTGAGCGAACTTGGTCAGCAACGCCAAGGGAACATCACAAGAGTTGATATACATCATGACAAGAGCCTTCAAGAAGCTTACTAAGCTCCTTTTACAAATTTCCCGTGTCTAGTTGAGCAATGCACAAATGGCTCGCAGATTTTCATTCCATCCTCCCATGAATGGGAGCGGTGGTTGGACCGCAGAGCCACCGATTGGAAAATAAATATATATATATATATATACAATGAATAAATAATATACAAATTATATATAATATGATATTATAATATATATATAATATAATATTATAATATATAAATAATATAATATTATGATAAATGATAAATAAATAAATATAAATATATATATATATATATTCTACAAATAAAATAAATTAATATATAATATAATATATACTTTAATATATAATATAATATATAATATGATATATAATATGATATATAAAATGATATTTAATATAATATAATATAATATATAATATAATATATAATATAATATAATATATTATATTATATTATATTATAATATATTATATCGTATTACATAATATAATATAATATGATATAATATAATATAATATATAATATAATATATAATATAATATAATATATAATATTATATTATATTTTAATTTAATATAAAATTATGATATAATATTATATTTCCCCACCTGCCAGGTGAGGGTTGTTAGATTTTATGTCAGTTACCTCCTCCTGCCTCATCCTCCTCCTCCTCCTTCTCTCCTCCTCGTCCTCCTCGTCGTCCTCCTCGTCGTCCTCCTCGTCTTACTGCGACCCGCGATCCACAGTGTTCTCTATCGGACCTCAACCACGACCATCCACGCCCAGTGTTCCCTGCCGGACCTCAACCACGACCATCCCCGCCCAGTGTTTCCTGCTGGACCTTAACCACGACCATCTACGCCCAGTGTTCCCTGCCGGACCTTAACCGCGAGTATCCACGCCCAGTGTTCCCTGCCGGACCTTAACCGCGAGTATCCGGGCCCAGTGTTCCCTGCCGGACCTCAACCACAACCATCCACGCCCAGTGTTCCCTGCCGGACCTCAACCGCGAGGATCCATGCCAAGTGTTCCCTGCCGAGGAAGATATGGGACAAAGAATGTGCGGAAGAAAGTTAGAAAGAATGTCAGAAAGAATGTCAGAAGATATGCCAGAAGATATGCCAGATAGAATGCCAGATAGAATGCCAGATAGAATGCCGGAAGATATGTTAAAATATATGCCAGAAGATATGCCAGAAGATATGCCAGAAGATATGTTAGAATATATATCAGAAGATATGTCAGATAGAATGCCAGAAAATATGTCAGAATATATGTCAAAATATATGTCAGAAGATATGCCAGATAGAATGCCAGATTGAATGCTAGAAGATATATCAGATAGAATGCCAGAAGATATGCCAAATAGAATGCCAGAAGATTTGCCAGATAGAATGCCAGAAGATATACCAGAAGATATGCCAGATCATATGCCAGAAGATATGCCAGATAGAATGCCAAATAGAATATTAAAAGATATATCAAATAGAATGCCAGAAGATTTGCCAGTAAGAAAATGTATAAATGTTATGGTGGGGATCACTCGAAGCAAAGTACTTTTTTATAATATAATATAATATTATATTTTTTTAAATATATATATATAATAAATTATAATATATTGGTAGACATAAAATTACTTATTTTTAGATTTTTTTTAAAACGGAACATCGATACCCAAACTACTAAATATATTTGGTTGATTCCTTACCGTTCCTAGGGAATGTTGGCTTTTATTGATGCTGCAGACTTGCCCAAACTACTTGAGCAAATCTCCATGAAAATTCCGTTTCTTAAGACTACTCCTGCCAAAATCTCATGCACAGTGTATTTTAATTGAGACTGGAACTCCAGATTCATAAGTCAGGCTTGGACAGAAGGGTTATATATCAAAATCTGTGGTGGAAAAAAATGCATTTATATAAGATCCGCTACGAGGTCTATACGAGGTTAGTCTATATGGTTTGTCCAGGAGTTCGCCGTGAGCTTCTGAAACGTTCCTAATTGGTTTTTAATAAAACCTGCAATCAGATAAAATAAATAGAATATCTCAATGTATGTCTGCTCTGGCAAAAGCC